CTCAAGGGATAAAAAAAAAAAAAAAAAACTCCGGTGGTGCTGATGCACAGGTGTGAGAATGGCCAAGGATTTGGAGATTACCCGAGGCTTTGTGCGTCCACCATGGCCCACTCACAATAGGTCAGCTCAGAATAACTAGAAAGGGCTGACCGACCATGTTCAGTCACCCCTGGAGTCATTAATCACACAACTGTGCAGATGAGGCAGCACGAGCGCTTACATTTGCACACACGCACACGCACGCACACACACACACACACACACACACACACACACACACACACACACACACACACACACACACGAACCAGAGCTTGTTGTAATTATGCAGCCAAATGCTGGATGACAGCCTCGCTGCAGGTAGTCAGTCCTTTAAGCCTGCACTCCTGCTACATTATCATACACTATAAGCCTCACACACACACACACACACACACACACACACACACACACACACACACACACACACACACACACACACACACACACAAACAAAAACATGGCTTGAAAAAGGCCTTGACACTCTTAACAACACATCACATCACGTTAGGTGGTGATAAAATGCAGCTTGTATCACATATCCAAGACTCCAGAGATTTATTTGACATCCCCGCTGTTACAAAAAAAAAAAAAAACAGCGCTGAAGCAGCGTGTCGCAACCTTCATATTCCGAAACAGGTTGCTCAGCTTGCAGCCAGATCACAATCAGGACAAAGATCTCAGATAAAGTTTCCATTTGGCGGCGACGGAATTCTTCAAAGAGGAGTGAGCGTCTATGTTGGTGTGTGTGATACGCATGGTGAAATGCTGTTGTGAATCTGCATTTGGCTTGGTCTAACACTTGCATGATTTGTAATTAAGATGTAAGTTTTCCTCCTATCATCGCTTGCATCATAAGTCATCTTTCCACTTTTACATGGCCAAAACGTCACAGTGAAAACACACAATTTTGCCACAAATGGCCCAAAATTCTTCAACCACTTACTAAATTAAAAAGATTCACATACTTTTCCACCCTGCACTGTGACGTTCGTCTATGCGTGTTTGTGTGTGTCTTGTCTCTGTAGCAAAGCAGCCCCAGAAAGTAAACAGTGGGTCTATTGTTGTGTCTTAAAATAAGATCACATCACATTTTATGACCAATTGGTAAGAAAGTTATGTAATTCCAAAGCTTCCCATACTTTTTGGGAATTGTATACATATAAATTACACACTGAAAGTGAGTGGTATTCGGCTTTCAGGATGAAGCGAAAATGCACAGAAACAAAAGTCACAGAAAAAGGACGGGCATAGAAGGGGACTTTGAAAAGGTATTGGTTGATTCATGGATCAAACATAAGTTATTTTCTTGGTCAGCTCAGTAAGTTGTGCAAAAAGCACTGAAAAATTAAAGAGTTGGATATGTGCATTCAAAAGTTTACAGAAGGTTAAATTAAGTTCATCTTTAAAGGTTTGAGTGCATTTTAGGTTGTGCTTGAAATTGCACCCACAATCCCGATATCCTTAACTTTTTGAGTACTGTATATTTAGTATATGCAAGCACGTCAGTAACGTAGCATGTTAAACCACTGCTGATTGGCATTCTTGACGACAAACGGTGAATCATATAAATCCGCTTGTGACCTCAACCACTTATTTCCCTCTCTTTCATGACACAACTGTCACTTTGACATTAAATCAGCACTGTCAGTGGAAGTATAGCCTGCTGCTACATTCTCTGACATTGAAGATTGCGGTCTCATATTTACTTGGCTCTAAAAGTGGCGTCAATCTCATCTAAGAGTCTCAAAATGACAGTGATGTTGCTTCAATGTAAAATCTAATAATCTGTTAAAAAAAAACCTATAACCTAACAAACACTGCATGCCATAGAGGTGAGACCCCGACAGGCAACCTGCAAAAGACAATTTGCAGTAGTTTGGGTTAGTCAACGATGTGCATTAGTCCAAGTGCAGAGGACACGAGCTTGGACCCTCACGTGGGAAACAAGACTTGTTTTTATTGTTTGGTAACCTGTTGTAACCAGCTTCTCAATGCAATAGGTCAAATGGATGTGTTGCAGAGAGAATGTAGTATTGAATCCTGGCGTATCGATTCGGAGCATAACTCCAGATACCACAGTTGTGTTTTTGTTTTTGCGTACCACTTTGACAATTGGTTAAATGCTTTAAAACCCATTCGAAAAAAGGTTTTACGCGATCGCTGAAGAGAAAAACATGCCAAGAAAGCATTTAACATACTGCTAAATTGACTGAGTCAGCCGCAGCTTTTAATCGACTTGAATTCGGTTCTCCGATCAACAAGTGTGATGTTTGACCAATGGAAAGGCACTTATTAGGAGTTGAAAAGACAAATGTGACATTATAGAGAGATACAAAACAAGGGGACTTGTCAGTGTTCCATAGGTGTATCCTCTTTTGCCTCCTCCTCGTCACTAACAGGTTCATAGTCGTCATCAACCCCCACTTCAGACTCCTCGCCCTCCAACTCTCCTCCGAGCTCGCCCAGCAGCTGCTCCACATGCTCCAACATCGGTTGGTCATCACAGCGTAGCTTGCTGTGCAGCTGCCAAGCACAAAAAAAGGATGACATGAGCGTTCAGTCAAGAAAACAAGCAAGTATCTCACACAGAGAGAAAGAGGGTTGAGTCATATAATACAAACATAGTTTTGCACATCAGATTTAAGTGGCCTTCCACTATTTATTAACAAATGTCAAAACATGTCAAGACCCGTAGAAGTAAAAGCGATGACATAATGTACGTACATACAAATGCACACATAGACACGCACACACACTACGAAATACTACTATTACTACTACTATGACTGCTTCGACTAAATAGCAAGCAAATGGTTTGTAAAGTGTGCCAATTGTAAAATTGTAACACTGGTGGTTCGTTGTAAAAACATTACATTGCCATATAAAAAGCCCATTTTTATTGTTGTTGTTGGGCTCACTTGTGTTACAAATTCAGAATGTCATCAGAGTTGAAGGCAGAGTACAAAATGTGTTGTTAGGTTTTCCTGTACAGGGAGAAATTTATTTCCTTTGCTCATCCTATGTTATCATCAAAGAATAGATATTTTATTTTATGTCGCCTTAGTATTTTTGAAGATGAATTCAACCAGCGCCATGGATGGGATTATTTGGTCTAATTGACCTAATTTAAACAGCTACGAGTGAGAAAAAAACAAAAACTGAGTTTCCGGGTTCTATAATCCATATACTATACTACTGAAATTTGCATTAGTGCTATTTACATTTGCATGCATTACAGATTTAAGGATTGTACATCTTACAGGGAACACAGTCAAAAATATCTCTGGAGTGAGATCAAAATCTTTGACCTTACAGTCCCAAGCCTAGCTTTGATAGTGTATTAGCATACTGTACATACTTGACTCTGACCTTGAGCTACAAAATCCTGTCAGGTCGAGTCCTGGTGGTGTACTCATTTTCCTTCCTAGAATTGCCACGCTAACACACTGGGCCACTGAATTTAACAGAGCAACTTTAAGATGTCAGCAAACAGCCACTTGGAGCGGAGAGAAGTGCGCGGCTCTGGCGTTTTAAGTCTCCAAGTGCCGGTTTAGGACAGCTGAATTATCCTCGAGCAGCTTGCATGCTGTCAGCGAGGCTCGCAAAACGCTGGTAAACAGATTTTTCCCTTCATTTGGCAAATTAGCTTCTTTGGTGGAACACTCCGCTACACAGAGAGGGGGGGAAAACAACAATCTTACTATTGCTCATGCATGTGGCCTGCAATGTACTTTTTAGAAAAACATTCGTAATCATTATGTCATGGGGCATACTGAACAACAGGATACTTGTACACATACACAAATATAACAATTTCACGCCATGCTGCAATGTTGCAAAAATGAGTACACGTCCAGTAGCGCCACACGTTAGATTAAACAAGAATTCCACCACAGGTGAATCTAATCCTCCCCAAAATTATTCCTGTATTTACTGATAAATGTTTAAAATGATTACCGGAACTTCTGAAAGGTACATATTTAAATCGAACACTGGAGCCTCCAAGCGCATATGGCTATGTAACAAACTATCAAATTTGCTATCTCAGTGAAATATTGCAGGCAAGTGCCCTCCCCCCAAAAAAAGTTCCCGACGCAGCCAACAGATTTATCTCTGTAAAATACTCCGCTTGTGTGTAATTACTGAACTCAAAGGGGGAGCGGGGTGATAAAACTGCTTCCCCTGCCACTGAGGACAGGAAGCAGAGCGCGGTAATTCTCAGCGTGAAAATGCAGAGTAAGCAGAGCGGCTGCGGAGATTTACGCTAACGACTTTTCTTTTTTTTTTTCCTAAGCAAGAGAAACAAAACTAAAGAGAAGTTGTAATAGCCCATAGTAAAAAGAGTACTATCGAGTTTTCAAGTGCAGGGTCACAAGGCCAGAAGAGAGGAGACGAGTGCGTGCGACTGCCTTGCTAAAGCGGCAGGCTCCAAGCAACATCCTGACACGGACTGTCAAGGGAACTCATTTGGAGCGTAACAATGTGCGCTTGCAGTGTGCGCGTGTGTGTGTGTGTGTGCGCGCGCGCATGTATTTAAGGGGATGCTTTCTCTACAGGTTGCAGCTTCTAAGGGGCAGAAAAAGAACTGGGAGGGGGGGAATGGAGGACCCAGCCACAAAGTCGGACGCACTCCCCCCTTATCAACCTCCCCAGCGCTACTCCACACACACACACCGGGGAGAAGAAGAATAAAAACACATGGATTGTCACTCTCAGACGCCTGGAGATGTCTATTCCCTCTGGGTAAAAGTTTGTGCTGTGCTCACAGTAGCTAAGGCCCAATACAGTGAATAATTGCATCTTGCAGCCTTGGGTCTTACTCACATCATATCACAAGTTGCATAAGGGACATCTTGTCAGAAGATACACTGTATTGCCGGTGACAATATTCGCTCACCTGCATGGACTCAGCTATGAACCTACTGGGCATCGCATTTCGGGCTGAAAAGGGTCCACGTCACTGTACTGGAGCAACCTTCCTACTCACCTTATCTTGCTCCATTTTACTGTTTTTTTTTTTGTTCTCCTCTTTCACAAGCTCAAGGGGGTAATAGGGGAGGCCCGTTCTGAAGACGTGCAAGACATAAAGATGGCCGTGACACCCCTCTTGGGACCTTTAAGACACACCTCCTATTTTATCTTAAATAGAAATCTGAGACCTTGTAGCCCTGTGTACACTACCTCCAAAAGGCATGGCTAAGTTCGCGATGCATCTACGCAACCTTTAGACATTTCTGCACATGATGATACTGAGGTCAGATCTCATTTCTCGCTCTTTCACCGCTCAAAGAGCCGCCACGAGAAGCGTTGTGTGCAAGAGTGTGTAATCACATCACTTTTTCAAGGTCCACTTTGCTCTACGTTCTTGTAGCCTGAAGCACTTTTTCCTGACACCGAACCCACACATCCCAGGGGCCCTGTTGTTTACAAGAGTATGCCGGCGACATAACCGGAATTGTACGCACATCGGGACGTTTCTTAGTCGAGTACCAACATTGAAGATCTGACCGGCGGACTGTCCATCTGGAGGCCTATCATAACCATGTGAGATAAAAAAAAAAAAAAAAAAAAATACAATTCAACTCCGCGCTCATAAGGGAGCAAAAAAGCAACCCAAGGAATATTTTTTTCTGAAGAAACTATCGTCTCTATGTGGAAGAGAGGCTGTTGTGGAAATACTGCTCGGATACTAATTTCTGGGAAAGGTAAGGGATAAATATGGTCCATCGATATTCAACTTTAATAAAGCTAGCTATTGATTGGGGAACAGAATGTAAGAGCAGTGCATCACAATAACATATGTCACAGATAGGATTCGAAGTGAAAATCATTTCAAATGCATGCTCAGTTTCGACCCTCAAAAGCCAGGAGTATTATTCGTCATTCATTTGCATTTTCTGACACTCATTCCCTTCGGTCTGGAAGAATGGAAGCTGCGAGGCAACACTCAAAAGGCCCACTTCTCATGGAGCAATTGAAACGAAACCAAGTTATGCCATCAAATATCACACTTGAATTGAAGAAGCCTCAAGTAGAAAAACTTGGCAGTGGTCGACACCAACAATTCAGAGTCTATCGCAAAAGAACATTGGCGGCGCAAGCTTCATTACCATTTTCAAAGTCACTTTCAAACACTTCAAGGGATTCGCTTTTCTACTCAAAAATTCGACTTACTCAAAAAAAAACCCCAACAACATGGAATTATGTTATAAACTAACAATGCACCTTGTGATAGTATGCATCTAAGAAATTGCAGGCTGTTTTAGGACGTCTATGCTAACACACTATGTTGTCTTTTATTGTTCAATTAACATCCACTCGGGTTGAACACGCAAAGTTAAAAAGTTGACTGAATGTTGGGGAAGGAAGTCATACAGAGTTCGAACTGCCCCGCTTTAAGAAGAAGAAGAAGAAAAAACCTTTATACAGTTGGCTAAGAGTAATGTAAGACAGTAATGTCGACTTTGCTTTTGATGACAATCGTTTTACCCAGAAACAGATCATTCAATACCCATGATTGCTTCTTGGAAAACGACCGCCTGGATAGTCTGTGACTGACCTTAGTGGTTGCACTGCTTTCACATTGCTAGGTATGTGTTATGAAATAAAGTCATTGTGACCCTAAAAAAGGCACAAGTAGGAAAAAAAGGAGATGAAGAGTGATGCGGTAAGTTGCAAATGAGTCCGTTTTTGTGCAGCTTCGTCTCCACCTTGAGGCAAATATATTTCAACCTCATTAGGACAACAGCAACTCAACAAAATTTGGTCACAGAATTTGAAAGGTACTGTATTGTAGTTAATAAGCAAATAATCCATTTCAGGCGTGCCACAGTCACCTTGGCAATGGCCCGAGTTATTTTCACATCATTCTCCATTAGTGTGCAAAACTTCCTTTTTCATGACATCGATTTTATGTCATTTGTTAATGCCTTCTATGCTCACACTTTTACCTTGCTGGCTTGCGTTTCATTGGCGCGTACACTCCGAAATGACCTTCCTGTCAAGATCCCTCTTTTTATATTCCTGCGCGTACACACCCACATTGAACTATTGTGACAAACTATTGCAGAGTGTTTTCCTGCATATTCCAAATAATGCATTCTTTTATTGATTCAGTGCCAATGCATATTTGGCATCTATAGCTACCTTTAGGAGTGAATGATTTTTTTTTTTTTTTTTTTTTTTGACAAAAAGCCTTGCTCGGCAAGGCTGAAATACCGGCTGAAGAACACGGTGTGAGAGCACGCGCACACACACCTCAATCCTCCTTTCACATTTTTGGTGGAGAAAGTCATCAAATTTTCATGACATGCGCATACCTTGGCCCACCCCTTCCACAATCCTTGCTCATGAGATCCCTTCTCAGCGACATCAACTAGTAAAGCCTTTGACCTCCATTTGCCCCATCCGTAGTTATCGTGCATACACACATATCTGCACACACACACACACACACACAAGTATAAATTCATCTATTCCATTGTCCTCAGTGAATTCATACCAGATCATATCTGAATCTTGGCTCTTTCTGACTGAGACTAAAATTCCATTTCACGTCGGGTTTACAACTGATTCGACGTGCGCCACCATTCACCGTCCACACCTCGATTGCTGCTTTCCACCCACACGTGCACACCGGCGCGTGCACCTCACATTCAATCTGTTTCTTTCGTCGCCTCCTATGTCATTCTCCCTGCTTCTGTCCGCTTGTTGCTGTTTTTATTCTTGTCCTTGACGCCCACTCTCTCCACCGGCATCCCATTTTTGGGGGGGTAGAATCCCATATCTGAAAAATCTGTCTTTGTGTGTCCATGCGTACTGTAAACACCACTTATGAAGACGCAGTGGTACCTCAGCCTGGATAGCTACTTAACTGTTCTGACTTGTTTCTCAAAGTTGCTTGCTTGATTTGGCGCGATATAGTCGTTAACTTTTGCGAAGGCCTATTATACACACTGCGCTTGGGTTGGATGGCGTGCAGCACAGTGCAGTGACAGGGACATGGCGTAAGCTTGCCCGTCTTTGACACCGGTTGCTAAGCGACTGAACGTAAGTAGCGCCTTGTCCCGCTGGTTTGGACATAATGGAAACTGCAGCTTGGCAATACGGATTTGTCGCTCTCACAAAAAAAGGCCTTGCTGTTACTTATGAAAAGGGGAAGAGCAAACAAATTATATATGCACAAAGTGTTTATGAGTCAAGTGCACTGATTCCACCAAAAGTAGTTATTTGGCACTTTTCATCAATGTTACCTTCTTAGCGTTTGTCAAATGCAATCGGGCCGCCTCCTTGAGCGCTGACCGCTCCTCTTCCTCCACCTCTGTGAGTGTTCCCCCCTCTCTTTCCTGCTGCTCTTTGGCTCTCTCTAACTGCAGGTAGCAAACCCAGCCGGAGAGATACCACACCTGGGAGACACAAGGACAAGTACAAATATGTATTATTTATTTCAGAAAACAAGCGGAGGGATCTAAATAGCATTCTTTGATTAACTTCTCCCGCTCCTTTTTGCGTAGTGATGCAAAAACACAATCCGATTACAATTGGATTAGTTTCGAAATTGTGCAAGAATTCCGAAACACAAGTTTTGCTGATGCAACTTTCTTTGATCTATAAACAAAAAGCGCAACGGCGATGAAATATTGGAGGCAAAATGCATTACAATGCAAATGAATTTCCCTCAGCACAATAGCTTGATCTGAAATGAAAATCAGAGGTGTTATTGGTTATTATACTGACTTTCCCTGAGGCTAAATATGTTTTTAATCTATACCTTCTGATAATTAGTAGCAGTTCCCAATACAGATGAGAAACTTGGCGCATTGGTATTACGATTTTATTGAGAGGCGTCTCAAGAAGGTCACAAGTGCATAAAAACAGCTTTCTGTCTGGATCATTCTACTTATGAAATAAAGCATTCGTGAAAATCTTGTTTCCACGCGAACTGCAAACAACTCTGAACAGAACTGAGCACATTTTAGCACCAGCCGGGGCTTGTGCTAACACCTCAAGCGGTATCCTGGCTGGCCCACCGATAACGCAGGTGAAATGACAAAATGTGCACATTTCAAGATGGTGTACAGTCAATGTGAAAGTGAAGGTCAAAGTACCACATGCTGTTATTATGAGCATTTCTATAGGAGCACCATGATACTAATTACAGCTCCGCAACAAACCTGCTTAAGGATGCTTACAAGGCATGTAACGTTCCAATTCCCTCAGGCACTAACTGCCTGGAAAATGGCACATTTTCCTGTCGCTGTCAACTGCAGAAATATACCGAAAGTGGCAAATAATGAGAGCGGCATTTACTGTAGGCTATTCATGGACACACAATGCCGACAACATCAGCGGAAAATGTTTGCACAATGCAATGTTGCATTAAAATGATGATTACCATGTTCGCGTCGGAGCCGAGATAAGCTTTCACATTGACGGCACCTGCAATTTCCTCCCACAAACCCGCTTTAGCGTCGACGCAGTACTTTTCAATTAAAATGCTTCGAGATGTGTTGAATTATGCTCGTTTCAAAAAAGATAACCTCATTACCACAATGAAACACTTTCATAGTTATTTGATGTCATGGCCAGCTGCTCCCTTTTATACAATTACACTGATATTTTTCCCCCCCCTCCAATTCCAGTTTGCTCCCACACTTAACATATTCCAGTCCGTGCAACACCAATTTATTGACGTGTGGATGTGGCCACTTACTTCTAGCATTACAGTCATTCAGAATGAATAATTGTAATTCTAATGACTGAATGTTCTATGATACTATAATATCCTGCTGCATACAAGGTGCAAATCAGAGGCATATTGCCCCAAGTCAAACTTAGAAAACCGAAACACTCGAATTGATTGGGGTCATCTCAAAAGAAAAAAAAGGATTAATTCTAATACTGCTTTATTTGTGCGTAGTACACCGTCTACTGCGTTTAAAAAGCTTGTGCTCCAGGTCAAGGTGTCTCTCCGGCTTCACTATACTTAAATGGTTCCAAGCAATTGATGAGGAATAATTAGGTCGCATACAAGATGTTTTCCTAGGTCACTTTGACAAGCTCAGGCTGAGCCTTGGTTCCAGCCTGCAAAGTTGCTAGACGTCTTCTTCATCGACAAACCCCAATTCCGATAATGTTGGGGCGCTGTGCCAAGCGTAAGTAAAAACAGAATGCAATGAGGTGTAACTCATTCTCAACCTACAGTATATAGTGAATTGAATACACTACAGAGACAATATACTTGCACATCTGCTGCCAGTTTTCATTAGCGATGCATTCAAGGACTGACAAGATGCCTACTGCTTGTCGGATTATTGACCTTGTTGCTGCTCTTGCTCAAGTGTTTGTTTTCTTGACCTCTCACTGTCGTCATCGTCGTTCTTGCTCCCTTAGTTCCACGTTTTGTAAGTATAGTCATTGTTTAGTCATTTGAATCTTGGCTTTTGGATTATCGTGTGAATTGGACTCTTGTCATTTTGTTTGTTTTCTCGGTGTTCCATAACCTTATCTTTTGCAAGTGCCTTTTGTTGAGTCCTCTTTTTTTTCCTGGATGCTTTGACTGTATTTTTTGTTTTGCACTTTGCGTTTTTGATCATAAACATTTTTATTGTCGCACTTTGTCTGTGTCTGCATTTCTGGGATCCTAAACATTATTCAATTCGTTTTGAACCTGACACCACCAGGCGACAATAAGGTCCAATGCAACAGTTTTCAAAACTGCATCAAAATTTAAGAAACAAAAAATTTTTGACCCGCACTGAGAGCGCTTGTGCAATCACATTTCAGCAAAATTTGAACAAGCTTTTCAAAGTGTGACCTGTGTTATGCTGACAAAGAAATCTGCAAAATCAAACGGATGTCCCTACGCCCAAAATATATACACAAAGGTCTCCAAGTCGGATGCAGTAAACCGCTTCTGCAATAATCAGACTCTCATTTCCATTTGGATTAATCAGGCAGAAACCTCCAATGCCAAGAATCAGTGAGGAAGAGGACACATATTACATTTTGTATACTTCAGCAAAATGTGGGAGGCTGACAAAATGGAGTGAATAATAACATGTATAGCCTTGCACTGTGTCGTGACACTATCTTTACTTTGGGGAAATAGGATTATATCTGGAGTTATTCTGCGATTCCCACTGGAGTCTCTATCAGCCACAGCAAGGCCTCTGGTGACAACGTGGCAGAATAAAGTGTGTGCGTGTGTGTGTGTGTGTGTATATATATATATATATATATATATATATATATGAATAAAAATCCTACACAAGGCCTGGGATTGATGGGCTGATCATGTAAAAAAACCTGTTGCAGAGGAAAGCAGGCATCTTCGGAGGAAGAAACCTAATCACACATCCCACACCATGGCTCCTGCGCCCTCTGAACATAAGTTCAACTCTGTCAACGTGGAGGTGTGCATGTGACTCCTGTCAGGCCAAAGATCAACGCCCACCTCTCTTTGAGCATCACAACACAAACGTTATTCAGTGAAGGCAAAGGGCAGAGGTGCAGGCTCCCTCGACTGCTTGGCTAACAAACGCCTCACGATGTGCCGTGCCGAATTCGGAATTGTTGTTATATATGCTGAGGGGGAAGCTAACACACTGCAGCCGCACTCACCAGAAGATCAGCAGCGCTGGATAAAAAGAGTTTCCACCCCTCATGATTTCAGCACAAGCAGGATTTAATTTCCAATCAAAGAAACATTTCCTGAGAAGAAAGACCCCCCGAAGAAGAAACACATGCATTGCACAAGGCGAATTTAAAGGCCAAACACAGTCTGTTCCAAAACCAACTCGACCCGATTTATTCAAATTTTTCCCACGAGTTCAACTGAACAGGACGCTTTTACAGTCGGGAACAGTTTAAAAACAAGGTAACTACTGTATACTACTCATGAACTTCAAGTCTTAAGCATGTAATTGTTTACTTACTGATGCCTACCGATTGTTTTATACTGAGGAGCCAGGACCACATGTGGTCATGGCATGATTATTGGCTCTATGGTCATCATCACTAATTTTCTCGTGGCCATCATTAGTATTCGGGGGAAAAAAAAAAAGAAAAGCAAACTTATGAATCGTTAAGATTCTCGCTGGAAGGATGTGTCCCAAGTCATACCCGAGTCTCGACACATTAGCGGTTCAATCGCAGAATATTTTATGAGTACATTCTCCGCAAATTTCAGTCCCACCTTCAGGACTTTTTTTTTTTTTTTTAATTTTCTGAATCTCTTGTATACTTATCATAAAAAAGCAAAATGTAGATAATTTGAACGAATAATGTATGGAACTTACATAAAAATTTTTACAGAAGGCCCTCTGTGAAATGTTTGCATGAGTGAAGATTAAAAAAAAATCTCAACCAGAAAATATGAAGCCAGCCAAGCAAGCTGTCTAATTAAGAACTTCACAGGCTCTCCTTTACCCTTCAACAACCCAAGACAGAGCGCACGCATAATTCAATTAAATAAATGCCACTTTTGTCAATCAAACTGCTTGCCATTTCAAAGCGGAAGCCCATCTTAACTCCCATATGGCACTGCTAAGGAAAGAACAATAGATTCATCAACTTAGCACCTTTGAAACAAGATTTGGGAGGAACTGGAACGGGTGTTTGTGCTCCAGCTTTCTGAGAAGTAAAAGGGAAGATGAATCAGTAGAAACAAACTTAACTACTGTACTTAAAAATAAATAAATAAAAAGAGAGGACGTATACGACATGATGTATTCATTACGAAGAGAAAATGACCGGTACAAACTCTGACGAAACAATTTGGTTAAAATTGTTTCATTTGAACAGACTGCCGAGTGTGCATTTGCTATTGGCCAAATGCCCACTCGCAGGCAGTGTCACCGCTAAATCTCGACAGTAAATTTTAAAGTTCAGCCCCCTGATGACTGCTCTCAATCTGTCAGATGAGGCCGCGCGTGTGTGTGTGTGTGTGTGTGTGTGTGTGCGTGTGTGCGTGTGCGAGGCTGAGCCTGAGGGGGAGTGTGGGAGAGACACTGTTGTGCTCTTTGACACTCAGTGGCGCACCTTGGCTTTCTGCACTGCTCACCGGGGGGATTTTCAAGTGCTGAGGGACGACAGAGTTCCTATCCGTGCACAGAAAAAGTCTGCCATTCATGCCCCTCTCTAATGAACATGCAGTTTCTACCTCACTGCAGAAACAAGAAATACAATGACACGAAGAGAAGACGTGTTTTTATACACACGCGTGCGCAAACACACACCAACTACAGTAGAACTAAAACAACTCAGTTAAAAGGGTCCTCTCAGTGTTTGCTTTCAGACTGTTTTGGTAAAACATGGCCCCTTTTGACATTTCAGAAACACCCCAAATGTGTGTGTGTATCATTATGATGATTATTTGTTTGAATCTCTTATTTTTAGGCAAGTTTGAAATGTTTTAAAGCATTATACAGCACTTTCAGTTGCATTCTCATGTATGAAACGTGCAATATACAAATCAAGTTTTGATTTATTATTATTATTATTATTATCATTATTATTATTATGATAAACAATTCACAGCTATGGACACAACGTTACACTTATGGACAATTTAGAGTCTTCAATTAAGATAGCATGCCTCTTTTTATGGGAGTGGGTGAAAACTGGAGTACAGTGGAGAAAGTTTAGTTAAGCACATGGAGCACATGCAACCACACGGGAAGTCTGCAGAACTCTAAGGCAGGAGTGCTAACTGTTAACTCACAGCGCTGCTACTGTGAAACTATCTAATAATTTTCTTAGATTATGAATTACACTTCAGCAAATGACGTTCTTTTTCCAAGGATCAGACAATTTTTTTTGGGGGGGTGCAAGAAAATGGATATTCCAGCAAGTAATCCTGTCTACAAAGCTCTCTGCTCAATTGCTTGCACAAGTGAGGGAAACAGCAGTCAATCCCAACAGCTGACCTGTGAAGTGAACTGCAATTTAGAATGGGCTGCAAAACACAAGTGGAGTAACTCCGTACACCATTGCCGCTGCCGCTGCCAAAAGAGGTAATGTTTGCTCTGTGGGTGGTTAGTCTGTCTGCTTGACTGCCGACTGTTGGCGGGACGACCCGAAAAACAATAAGCTGGTTGAGTGCAGCGTGGAACAAGCTGAAAGAACAATCTGGGCTCTTCTGTATCGGTTGGGCATTTCAAAATACTGATTTTCTTTGTGTCTCCCAATGCAGACTGTACTTGATAAGATGGAGTGCAGCAGATCAAACAAATGGTAAAATCTTGAGTATTGGAGTCGTAAGGAGGATGAGTAACTCACTCAGAGTGTCGAAAATGTATGAACATAGGAAAAGACACACCTTATTTTGCAACTTTGATGTCATCGCCATTTCAACAAACACAAATTGCTGTTGCGGGAAGATGAGAGTGATATTTGCGGACCAAAAAAATAAGAGTCACAGATGAGAATTGTTGCCATGATTACAAGAAGCTCTAACCTATATGAACGAACAAACCATACGTATTTTGCGCACCATAAGGCGCACCTAAAAGCATTCAATTTTCTCAAAAGCCAACAGTGTGCCTTATAATCCGATGCGCCTTATATATGGATCAATATTCTGATTTCATGGAGGTGGTATTTTAAATGTTCTTTAAAGCGCTTTGTTACAGCGGTTGTGAAAGCACTATATAAGTAAAGCTGTATTGTATTGTAATGTATTGTATTCCTTTAGCATAGCTCCATCTAGTGGATGCACAATGCAACCGCAGCCACTATTGTGGCTTCTATTTCAAGTGCCTTATAATGCAGTGCGCCCTATATTTTAAAACAGTTTTAAAATAGACCATTCAGTGGAGGTGTGCCTTGTACTCCGAAGCGCCTCATAGTGAGGAAAATACGGTAATACATATTTGGATCATTATTCCTCGGTGAAAGGTTTTGTAGCGCCTACTTAATTTTGCAGTAGTAATAGTGGATAACTGGGCAAGTAGGGCTGAGATCGATTTTTTTGTTTGTTTTCATCCTACACTACAAACTCTCTTTCGTCTGAAAACAAAATGAGGACCACTTCTTTAGTTAAATGAAATATTATTTTGCTGGGCCTTTGCCTTAGTGCTTACCTGAACAACCTCATCGTCCTCTTCCAGAAGCCCTTCAAGTACTTCCACTGCCAACTAAAAAGAAGCACAAAGAAAGACAGAAATTAGACACCATTATCATGAAAAGTTGGAAAACGCTTTGCAAAGGCAGGAAAAAAAACAAAACAACAATAACAAAAAAAATCCAGCAGAAGCACACTCAAACCATTCAATCTCCTAGACAGACAGATCAATCAAAAGAATTCAAGGATCTGATAAGCATCTGGCCAGCCCTGCATCCAATATACACAAGGCTGGAGATACAAAGACAAGACAACAGGGACGGCCATTGACAGACACGCTCAAGCAGTGCTTATTGCGCAGTCAATAGGCACTTTAGCCGCTCTACCCGATAGCATTTTTAATCTATTTAATGACATTTGGAGTCAATCCACTGTTTGTTTCCGCCCGGCTCGCCACTCAGCACTCTGATAAACCGAAATAGCAGTGTGAGCCGTAGTCCAAATTTCTCCACACTTAGGCGTATTTTTCTAAATTGTTCTCTTTGGCGCCCTGGGGGGACGCTTTTGAGCTCTGAAAGGAGTCAAATGTTGCCTGACCTTTTGCTGTAGAGTGTCATTGTTTGGGTCGGTTGCTGTGAGAAGGTTCTATTGCGGAACACAGACCTTGACCTAGGTAGGCTGCGTTTGCTTTGCTCTCACTCTCTTCCTGTGGATCCTGTGGTTGTGCTGCGTGTGCGCACGCTTGAGAGGCCCCGGGTGATGATTTATTGATTTTTGTCAACTTGAGGTTGGAGGCGACTGTTAGCCAATCACCCGTGGTGAAGGGCAAGAATAAAAGGCACGCGTACTGGAGAGTGTACGTGTGCACGCAAAAACACTGCAGTTCCACTCAAGAGTCCGTCGGTACAATAAGCAAGCTCTTGTTATGGCCGCATTATTTGCTGGAGAGCTTCTGAATTCCACCGCCCTTCTTCTTTGCTCTTTTGAGTTCTCTTTTCATTAAGCCTGTGCGGCTCCGGAGGCAATAAAGAAAGAGGTGTGCTGCCAGGATGCACAGAGGGAGAGACGGGTTAATTGAGAATATCTCGTTAAGAGTGTGTAAATGCCCATTTCAGTTGAGTGATTGTTGGACTAATTATCAGATGGAAACCTGCGGTCTTTAATTAATTGATGTCTAATTAAAAAGAGCCAAACAATAACACTGAATCCCAGAAGATGATGGATGGTTTCATGCCCAGCCTCAGAAATATCCGTTTGACTGTCACAACACTGTGACAAACAATAATTTGTGGCAGGAAGGATTGAGAGATGTGGTGTGAACCGGCCGTTTTTTGTTTTTTTTTAGAGCAACAAAAATAGAACAAGAGATATCTGGGAGCTACGATAAGTGAGCAGCGATAACCGTTCCATCATCGCCAAGTGCCGAGCTTCCTAACTACATTGGTCAACCCTGGGGGCCCCGTGATTAAAGATTCAGATCTTCTTAAGCCGCTTCACACTAAACAACAACAAGCAAGGAGATGAATATATCTGCACCGCGATGGGAAGGAGAGAGTGGCCGCATGCTGAGAAGATGGGACAAAAGGCTGCATCATAAACAACACAAAAGTGGTCAGTGAACAAGCGGCGCCCCAAAGATAAATGCACACGCCTCAAAGTCACTACGTACACGGTGACCTCTTTCTTGCAACACCTTACTAGTCGGGAGGAAGTCATTTTTAATAGCCGTTGCGTGCACTTTGAGCAATCTGCAGGCAATTTGCTTTAACACAACCATTTTAGCGGCGGGCGGCAGCAGAGAGACGTGAAAGACAAATCGCTCCACAAGCGAGGGCAACCAATATCTGTAACACGCGAACACTCGTGCACACAAAGAGTATCGCTGAAGTAAATAAATCCGACGCTGGCAGGTCGGGCTCATTGGAAATTATAAGTGGCATGCCATTGTGAGCTACGTTTCACAACACAAACGTTCAATGACAAAAAAAGTAAACAAGAGTGACAAGAGCAGGGAAGGGAAACCAGCCATCGGCTAATAAATATGCTGAAAGACACCTTAATAGCTGTCATGGGACCACCTGTCTGTCTGATTGACTGTCTGTACGTCCGCTTCCTGAGTTGAATTAGTGCCAGCCCGTGACTTCAATACGAAAAAAAGACAAACGGATGCAAAGGACCAGAGTGACATTTTTTGCCACCATGAAAACTTGAAAATGATAAGGCAGGGTTAACGACATCATTTTATCAGGATTAACACTGACCATTTTCAATAAATTGCAATCTATTTTTTTTTCTCTGAATAATTTACCTGATCTGGCCGTCAAATATTTCCACATTATGAACAATGTTCTCGCTAATATACTTATTTACTGTGGATATGGTGTTTTTTTATTTTACTTTTTACTTCAGTTCTTTTTACACTTGTGTAACATCTGCTATTATTTTCAAGCCCTCATCACTCCTTGAAGTATTTTGTGGTAGTAATACACGCTGAAAATCTCCAATATGTGCTATCCATGACCACCCCCCAAAAAAAACCCCAAATATATTTTTTAAAGATTTTAAAGTATTGGAAAAAATAAAAAAATAACGGATGGCGAAGCGCAAGTATGCGAGAGTCCACCATAAATTAAAAGATTTTTTTTAAAAAATCTAGAATGAAAAAATATAATGCAAAGTAGCCAAGTAAAAAGACAATTTCGATCAAGTAAAGCCTCCTAGTGTGAATGGTCATTTGTCTCTATATGTGCACTGCGACTGATTGGCGACCAGTTCAGGGAGTTGACTGCCTTAAGCCCGAAGTCAGATGGGATCGGCTCCAGCAACTTCACGCGACCCTGTTCAGGACAAGCGGTGTTGAAAATGGATGGATGGACCCAGACAATCAGCTCAAATGTGTGCTCCATGCAGTTCATTATCACATGCAAAAAAATAATAATTAGAAAAAAAGACACACGCAAAAAAACATGCAGAAAAATCGCACTAAAAAGCAGCCAAAACAATATCTCTTCCATATGACAAAAGCAGCAATCATGCCGCGCTCTTTTTTTTTCCAATTATTTGAGCTATTTCTCTAGTAGGGTCCCATTAGTCTACATACAGTCCCTTAGCCAATCAGGATACAGAACAGAATGCAAAAACAAAAAGTGGAACAAAGAAATTCTGAGAAACAGCAAAGCCGTGAAAGATGAACCGTGCTATGGCGTGGGATTCTTCTCCTTTCGGCTTGTCCCTTTTCAGGGGTTGCCACAGCGAGTCATTAATTTCCATCTTTCCCTGTTCTCTGCATCCTCTACTCTGACTCCAACTACCTGCATGTCTTCCCTCACTGCATCCATGAATCTCCTTTTTGGCCTTCCTCTCTGTCTCCTACCTGGTAGCTCCATCTCTGTTCCATCTCCATCTTGGATTACTGTACTTAAAAACTGAATGTTAGACACAAGTGGTTGAGTTCAAGGCTTGCATGGTGTGATGGGTTATGAAACACTTGAAGTGTTACTTTCTCAGCCAAACGGCTGCACTCAGTTGTTGCGGGGTTGCTTCAATACACTCAACTTCGAAAAGGAAAGTGTTCGCCGCAATTCTGAAAAGGTAAAGCCTTGACAGATGTTAGATTGCAAGCAATACACTTCAGGTTCAATGGAGCAGACGTTGCACACCAGTGCTGTTAAAAGTCATCCTCACTTTAACTCCACTTTATTCATAAATGCCATCAAATCTGATATTTCATTCGGATATTTTACTCAGTAAAAGAGGAAAACTAACAGGATAGTTTTATGCAATTGAATCACTTACAGTAGCGACTATTTGGAGAAAACCGAAGCTTATTTGGCTGGGATTATCGTACTTGTTTTGGCAAACCCTTCGTTTTCCTCCAATTCCAACCCACATGCGAGTGGAGGGAACGTGTGGGGCCAAACTGGACCCATCAGACAAAGAGCTCGACACAAACAGGTGTTTTTCTGCTCACACTGTTGCTCTTCCAAAATTGCACCGTTTAGACGTGCAGTATGCTTCTTTGGCAAATGGATAACATGCAAAAATTTCAAAGCCTTGGCGCCGTTCCGGAAGACCAAACAAAACACACGATGGGAGGAAAATATGGGCAAATGGTCGGTTACTGGCAAGATGCTAACTCAAAAAAACTTTACAGAGCACACAAAGCGCAAGCACAAAACTTTCGGAGTGTTGTGGATGGCTCTACAGCAGTGGTGTCAAACTCATTTCACATTGTGGGCCACATATGGCCTCGGTAGATGTCAAGTGGGTCGGACCATTACAATTATACCATACTAGCTATAAATAACCAAATTATCATGTCTTTCCTTTGTTTTGATCGAAAGAAGCACATGAACATTCGCAAAATGTTGGAATTGAATGAACATATCTTTTACAAAACATTTGACAAAATGACTTGACTCTCTGTTTCAATCGGCTGTCTAAATCTGCTGATAGGTCTGAAATCCTCTCTGGTATAGTATTCCTCGACAGGCTAATATTGGCAAAAGCTTGTCGCTTCTCAGGACATTCAAGTTCAGCCGCCTTCATCATGCATCGTTTAACAAAAGTCACCGTCGGAATACAGCTTTGATGCTAATGCTATTTCGCTAGCAATTTAGGTAGCTGGCTTTGACTGCTGTGGTGGGTCCATCTCAGTGACAGACTGTGAGACTGCTGTTGTCTTCTTCTTTGATCAAAACAATGTTGTCTTCTACTCTGATCAAAACAGTGTTTCCACCCACGAATTGCATCTTATTAAAATATTCATTCCGTGTCTTTGATGTATTTTTTCACTTTTAAAATATCCTGTGGGCCTGATTGAACCTCCCTGGGGGCCGGTTCCGGCCTGCGGGCCATATGTTTGAAACCCCTGCTCTACAGTCTCCTGGTTGAGCGTGTGTGCGTTCGTATTCAATCAGGATTAGTCTCAGACCGCAAGAAGACGGACAATAATATAAGATTGCCGACGCCTTTAAACTCATTTTCTGTCACGAGCTTCCAAATTGCGGGATCGATGAAGAACAAACACTGTGTGCGGGAGGTGTAAATGAATACAAATGCAGAAATGCTCACACAGCAAAACACTTCGGCTATTATTTATGAAGCAGTCACAAGTGTCTGCAGCTGGTGACACCGACAGCCGGATGAAGACAAATGACCATGTCAGAAACTGTGGACTGAGACGCTGTCATTTCACTGATTCACCTGACAGCCCGTCCTCCCCTCCCACCGCCGAGTCCTGTAATAACGGCAAATCTCTCAACAAGAGCGAGCACAAATTAATCAGCGAATCAGAACAGAAAATAGCCGAACCGCTCCTAGCGTGGCAGAAATCACAGAAAATGATTTCAAACACTAATGAGCGTGAGGTTCTGCACTGAACCGACAAGAAGCATTTAGCCGCAAAAAAAAAAAAAAAAAAAATCATGGTAATTAACATGGGAAGTTGATGGGTGATTAAGAGGGCAAGTGTGCCATAACAAAGAAATCAGGGCAGCAACTTCTCTCATTTATGAACTGCACCGAGCAGGAATCACTGGAGCAGGGATCATCAACATGGCGCCGCGGGCATCAGGGAGCCCGTTAGTTGTCTGCGCGCCTGTTCTACAATATAGCTTACCGGTGATGGGACATTGTGATTTCTTAAGATTGATCACATTTGAAACTATCCACATTTGAAAAGATTTTTAAAAGTGTTGCAAATTGATGCTAGTTACCTACCTATGTAAATCATAGTCGATAATTACTGTGAGATATTATCAACATCAATGTCTTGACATATTTCAATATCATTGTTTAGTAGCATAAAATCAAAGTTATGTTTTTCAGCAAATGTGTTACTATACGATGTAACAAATGAAGAAATGTACTGTCAGAAGTGTATGTCAAACTGAGAGCCGTTCGCATTGATCGCCACCCAAATGTAGCAGTTCTCAGTTTTTAAAAAAAAAAAGTTGCACTGTTTAAAAAAAAAAAAAAGTTAAGTGAATTCAAATTTTCCTGGCGACAAACAAATATTTTAAGCTGGGCAATGCAACAAAAAGTTTTATGATGGTCGAAATTGACTTTCTTGAAATTTCAACATTAATTACATAATTTTTTTTTGATCGGAAAATAATGGAAATACAGGGTCAAACTTTGCGATCAAATACATTTATGAAATCTAAAAACAATTTTTAACTGCATTATATAAGATTTGAACATTTTTAGCAGTTATACAAGTACAGTGAAGATGGAGATGCACCCTTTGAGAATGCTAATTGTTCAAAAATGTTTTAAAAAATGTTCAGCGTAAATCGGAAATACATACACACGTGCTTCAGACGTCACACCACGTACAGTAACATTGGAGTCTTACTGTATGCTGAACTGAGATGTTGTGACATACACTGAGGGGTTTGATCACACTTGATGGTTGACCGAACGTGAGTTTCTGTGTCTTTGTTCATTTGTTATTTAGTTATTTACGGCAAAATTGCACATCGTATCACCTCAGTAGCATTTGACGACAGCTTCGATTGTCCCGATTTTCCAATATGCTCTGCACAAGGGTGGCATAGTGAAAGGATGCCAGCTGTTACGACGTACTTACATAAGACCAAAGTGTGGCGGTGATTCACTTCCAATAGATGGAACTGGGCTGAATAAAAGCTTACAGCGTGTGGCAGTTGGCACACAATTTGCACCACTGCCGACTCCGAGTATCTGCCAGCATGATGTGATGTTTTAGTCCAACTGACATATTGTAATTGATTGTTCGACCTTGGCAGAGGTCTTTGCTCAACTGAGTGCCACTCTCGTTCATCTAAGTTCTTTCTCTCCTCGAGCATTGCCCCACACCCCAAATACCAGTCTTCAATTATTGACACTGGACTCTGAAGGGGATAAAGACCAGCCATGACCTTGCCACCTTCCAAGCTATTCACTGGAAAGCAAAAGTGCTTCGCCGCCCTCCTGCCATGAAACCCAAACAGCGCGTCAACAAGAGCTGAAATGTTTGAGCTAAGCACGTATCTTTTTACCTCGTACTCCTCGCCCTCGATGAGAAGCTTGGCGGTGGTGATGCGGGACTCATACGGTGGGATCTGGTTCTATGGGGGGAAAAAAAGGAGAATATTGCAATGTCTAACGCTGAGTAATTACACAACCATGGTTCCCGCACCGTTCTGATAATGGCTAGATCCAATTTCAAGGTACGGGACGTTCTGCGGCCACGTGGTTATTAATCAGAGTGAACATGACAGCAGTCCGAGTACGGATCAAGCTGCTGTGGAAGATAAGGGACACAATGACGGCGCCACGGTGGGATTGTTGTATCATGTCATAAGCGCATTGGCTCTATTTAGGTATGCAAACGCAGGTCACATATAGAATTACTTCTATTTTCACGTCTTTCTTCCTCACACACTCGCACACAAAATCACACGGTTTAACAGAATGGCGGGTCCACATTTAAAGTTTATTATCCTTTTTTTTCTCCATTATCTTCTGATTTTTATCCGTCCTGGTGTTTGTGCTAGTGGCAAAGCGCTCTATGAAAGTCCTTCTCTAGGCTGCAGTGTTTTACAAATAAAAGTGAAACATTAGCCACGCTAATGATGATAGAGATGCTCCAACTCACCTGCTCCTCATCTTCTAGGCTGGAGGACGCTTCAGTCTGTTTCTGGGCAGGTAGCCACAGTCTGACACTCTTCAACAAGTACTCTTTGCCTTCCTAAGGACGCCACAATGTTGTGCAAAGAAGTACAGAAAATAACCATGACAGTGAAGGAAGATATACAAGGCATACTAATGACTCATTATATTAACATATGATTTGTTTTATGTACTGAATGGGTCGACCGTCGTCACCAAAATGCGCGGGGTGGATTCCTGTAGCGGTATGGGATCCAGCAATCAAAAATCTGGACATGAGATTTTGTCAGTGGAGCTAGCCTGCCCCCTACAGTTTAACAACTGATACTTCGGGTGCAATTTCACTAAACGTTTAAAAAAAAAAATTGTTGACAGTTTGGGGAAGGAGCTTTTGTATTCCAACATCAACAGCTCCCAGCATGACCTTAACCCAAAGAAACATTGATGACTTCTGCCCTTGCAAAATGTATCTTAAAATTCCCACAAACACCAACATCTCCGAGTGAACCAAACCCATTCTGCCTTCCAAATTCACCTACAGTAGGTTTCAATGTTCAGACATTCCAATACTTTCATGTTTTGAAGTTGTTCCAACGTAAATTACTGTTGTAGCTCCAAAAAATACAAGTCGTGTAAGTAGCATTGTAATTCATTCAATTCATGCCATACCTCATGGCAGTAGAACTGGCAATAATAACAGACATGTCTGGTAGCCCATCATTTTGAAAATCATGCTATTGTAATACAGTCATTCAACCTAAGTAGTTCATTTTACTGTTAAGATTTGGCTGGAGGCCAAGATAACAAATGTTTCAGGGCAATAACTTTTTAGACATTTATGTTTTACAGTAAGCACATTTTTTGAAGTTCTACATAATTTTATACAAAGAATTTGATATTAGGCCGTAGATTCAGTGAACCACCGATTCAGAATGAAGACTAAATTACTTTGCTGCACTGTATAGCCGTGAATGAATTTGCAATAAAATGAGATGTCCTAGTGTAATTAATTGCACATGCAAAATCATCACTAAAACCATTCCAATGCCTGGGTTCCACTTTCTTTCTTATTACTTATAATATGTGAAATTAAAATGTCAAAAAGAGAAAGGTGTGTAGAAATGTACGGACGGGTTGTGAAAGGTTGAGCAGAAGAACTTCATTAGGATTTAATTAAATGGAAACCCAAAATAATTTTCTCACTTCTTACATAGAAAAGACATTTCCTGGAAAGGTCAGCCTGTGCCCTTTCACTTGATATGTGGACTGTCCCCAACTCACTTCGCACAAAATGTCTTTTAATTATTTAAAATGAAGCGGAAGTGAATGTGAGAGTGCTTTGCTCAATCCAGCTCTTAGGCTACGGAATGCCTACGCTGACCGTGTGACATGCACACTCGAACTAGTCGTGAATGTCCTTGTACTGAAAAACTCATCTCGTCGTCATTTAAAAATCTCTTTAAATTAAATGAACGTTCTTGGGATATTTTGTCTTCATCCAGTCCACTCAGCTGCCCCTGATTATCTCTCTCATTCTTAGACAATTACATGACTTCAAAGATCTGCCTGATAATAAGCATTTCTACCCAAATGACCTGCTGTGTGCGCGCGCAAGTGATAATTTAAGTGTCCATCTGCTGATTAATGGCAGACGATTCAATTTGCTGAGAATAATTAACTCAGTATATTCCTGCTTTAATGTGGTGATCATTTATCCCATGGGCGTATGCGTGCATGCGCGTATGACCTGACCTGATTTTTCTCGGTACTGAACAAGTAGCTGGCCTTGAGTTGGAGGCCTTCTGGGTTGCCGGGGTAATACTGCAATGCTCTCTCAATGAACTCGCTGCACTTGTTAGCAGCTCCCTCCTCCATGCTGCATACACATTTACAAATCTCAAGTCATTCAACAAAAGAGAGACATGAAGAAAGATTATACATGTCCAAAAAGTCTCATTATGTTCTCGGTTACCAGAGATCTGTTAGGTAAAGCTCAGCGATGGAGCAGTAGGCCATGCTAACATCCTTCATCGTTGGGAGTTCAGGATCCTCATCTACAGGTGTTGCACCTCTGGCCTGGGCCTGTTTAGAAGACAAAGCCACACTAATTATATGTTCTTTTAGTAAATTATAATGACATCTATGTAGGATGCCACTCAAATGAGGGAAATATACTCTTGTTTAGCCTTTCCTTTAGATCCTTTCACTATTCAATTCAAGATTGAAAATGCTCTTCCTCGGCCCGTGCACCAACCCTCTCTACACTTCTGTGGAAATCAGTATTAATTTACACAGTGCTGCTTTGATTTGCTTTACAATGTAAAAACGACATGCCTTTGAGTAGGTGTTGTGAAATTCTATTATTGTTGTGTTATAATATTATTTATCAAAAGTGCCATGTATCATACCATACTGAATGAAATGTCAACACATTTTAAAACTGAGTATCACAACAAACACGTCATTCTTTCAAAAGTCCTTGTCAGAAAAAACAAAAAGTAAAGCAATGCTTTCACATAAGAACAGCACTACCTAGCGGCAAGAAAGTAGAATGCACCAGGTATTCAACTCGATGAATGGATGAACGACAAACGAGATGGATGATAGATGATAAATGTTTAAATTATTAGATTTATTAGATATGAGGTATATTAAATATATTTGAGAGGTAGATGGCAAGATAGATGTGGTCAACAAAAGCAAATGAAGTGTGTCTGTCTACTTCTTGCTAAATGGTTTTCTTCCTTTTATTTTGGCAGAAAATCTGTACTAAAGCTGATACAATGAATTTTTTTTTTACACAAAATCCCTGCTTCACATAAAACACACAATAGTTGTTACACTTAAATATTTGTATGCCAAAATTTTCCATGACTTCAGATTTCAAATTCACTTTGTTTGCTAACAAAATCTAACACGCGGTTGCAGGGCCAACTGGATATTTTTAACACTGTTGAGGAAATAATACATTACATGGTTTTGACAGAACATCTCTCTGAGGGAACCCATAACTATGCTAACGTGACATTGGGGGAATTCAGCCCATGAAAAATATTCGTTTGACACCCCCAGATTGAATAGATTAATCGTCAGCAGACCGATAGATGGACAGACAGACTGATTTGATATGGGACTTATTTCAATCAATGTGCACTCACAGTGGTCTGTGCTTGTTTGTCCAACGCAGATAACATGACTTGTATTCCTTTGGTGTAGTAGTCAACAGCTTCCTGGCCTGTGTGGAGCTGTCCCAGGTACATGTACTTACTGTGGCCAACATCCGGGCTCAGCTCCACAGCACGCAGAAAAACGTCAAGTCAGTCAAGGAAGCTACAGTCAGTAGTAGAAGGTATGCTGAAAGATAAAACCCACAATAAAGGATATTTCTTGAGCTTTCTTTGTGTCGCCAAGCTCAGATGAGATGTGTCCTAGCATGTCAAGAGCTTGCAGGTTGGTGGACTCCACGTCCACGGCACGCTGACAGTAGAGTCCAGCCATCTCAAAGTCAAAACTGTTCATACATTCTTCAGTCTGTGCAATACAGGACGGAATGATAAAGTTAACATGAAGAAAAATTGCACAATGTCACATTTAACAGGTTGAGCTGCTGTCAATTGTTATGTAGAGTAACCTTTTCTAGTAGTTGCTCAACAGAGTACTTGGCAGCTGTTTTCTTCTTGGCCTTTTCGTGCATTCTCACTTGCATTCTCTCCTGAGGTGACAAGCCCACTAGGCCGGCATCTAGAGTTTTAAAATACAGTACATTAACAAGTAGCGTAAGCATGATCACTCTTTGGTATGGCATTATCCGGACATTGATCATTTTAGTCACAGCCTTACCATTGTTTGGGCGGTTGTCTTTCCTCCTAGGTTTGGTTTTCTTTTTACTCTTACCCTGCCCTCCCATGATGAGGAAAACCGCACCGTACGATTCAACAATTTAGACTTTTCATAAGCCCCCACAACACATGGAAAGGGGAGTCCAGAAAGAAAGTTTACATGGTGCGCATGCGCCGAGCGACAGCTTCCTGGCAGCTACGGGAAATCACAGTGGACATATTAGATAAGTGGTTTGTATGCGATAGGAAATAATTTGACTGTCGTTTAAATTCTAACGAGTGGTAAAATTGCACAATTTTACAATTCATCATAAATTAAAATTTAACCAAATAAATTATATTTCCAATCGCCGAGTATTGTGGTGGGATGCATTGTTGAGACTACAGCGAGGGCGGGATTCACATTAACGACAAGCGTTTGGACCAATGGCACAACGTGTTGAGAACGCACCCCTGACGCTCAGGGGAGCTTTTGGATTTCAACCAATGAACAAGCACGTTACATTTACGAACAGGCTTTTCTGACTCCGTTGTAAATACGAATGACAGAGGCGTTCATATTAATGACATTGCACAATCAATTGGGAACCCCGACTTGACTTTGCATTTCAGGTAAGTGAGTTTTTGCGTGATGAGACTATTGATGAACAATTTACAACGATATCCCCTTCTTACTGCCAATACATTGATTTTCTAAGCAATACGAATGTTAGCTGATACTCGTAGTAATGCTAATGCTAACTTGCGTTATCATTACCCATCAAACACATTTGGTGTTAAAAATGTATCATACGCGTAGTAAATGCACAAGCATGAAACAAGGTAGTCACGCAATCGTGTTGCCCCTGTCAGCTGTCGTCATTTTTTTTCGCTATTCACCCCTTGTAACGATTAGCTAGCTTTCCAGCTGTTAATCGCTTGCATGTGTTGTAAGTACATTTCTAGTTGTGTGCACTCCTTGTGGTTTTGTTGATTACATTATGAAGTTACTGCCAATACAGGCTCCGGCTGAACAAGTTTTTTTTTTCATGCTACCTGCAGGCTGATGGAGTCACATTAATGTGTTTCCTCGTACCAACCAGCGTCCTGCCAGCGCAGAGAGGAATACTGCCTTGTTCCACAGGTAGCTTGTGGCCAATGCCACAGGCTCTACCTGCCCAGGGAAGTGGACTATCATTCAGACGAAAGATCTTGCAAGTCGGCCCCGACAAATATCATTTGGCCTGCATAGTGAGTGGCTGTACGTCAGCCTGCAGAGAAATTGGTCATGTCAGACTTAAACAAAGAGCTGGTGGATTTAGTGTGGGGGCGACCAACAAGCGGGGCAGTTTCAGCCTCCATCTTTCGCAGATGGACACAAGGTAGGATGTTGATTGTAGATTAAGTGCATTTTGTGTTCATTTGTACCTCACCACCACCTCAGAGACTGATGTGTACACAACACAGTTTTTTTAAGTGAAATTGTTTGACGTTGTATTGTAGTACATGAACTGATCATCGTATGTTTGCTAAATATATCATGTGATCGTATACAACCCGCATTTCTTCCGTCGTCATTTTTTTACATGCACATAGTGGGTCTGCCCGACTGCAAAAACTATAATTACTTCGTAAGTAACACCACCGAACTACCGAACTACTTTGTTTTGTCTCGATCACAGGGTTTGTGTTCAGTGAGAATGAGCACACAGCACTGGAGCAGTTTGAAGGGGGGCCATGCGCTGTAATTGTACCTGTACAGGTAATATCCTTTTTAAACCCTTTGACATAATATGTGCACTGCCTAAAATATGAAGTCGGGTGACTATGAGGTCATGGAAAACAGTGCTCATCAAGCAAATTGCAGTTGACATTTGTGTTCTCCTTGCAGGCTTTCCTCTTAAAGACTATTCTCTTTAATCGAGAGACTTCAAACTGGAGACACATGACAGGTACATCAAACCAAGATTTATTGCTTTTCATACTGATTATTAAATTATGCATAAATATGTGCGCTTTTAGAGGAGGAGCAGAAAACGATCCTGTGCTCAGCGCTGAGTGAAATCCTGGAGTCAGCCTGTTCCAGCACCTCCACAGGGTTTTGCCTTGTGTCATGGGCCAAGGGACAGAGCCCACAAAGCCACGCACATACGAAAGCACAGACCCAGTCACAAGCACAGGACATGCCAGTGCCAGAGAGCAGCCAACCCCTCGAGGGACAGCAACCGAGTAAGTCTTAACGGTCGTTGTCTTACAATTTTGAATAGTGACACTCAAACGGCGATGCTCACTGCGTCAAAAGAATCGTACTTTGAATGGCTGTTGTCGAATATCATCTGTTATTGTGTCATGCTCTAAAATCATAGTACAGTGCATATAAAAAGTTTGCAGACCCTTTTGTTCAAATGCCCAGTTTTTTTTGACAAAAAAGAACTTAGACAAAGATAAATCTTAAAACATTTCCCACAATGACCGATAACTTGTAGTTTTCAATTTTTTTTTTTTTTTTTTTTTAATGTTTTGTCTTTATCAAGAAGCGGAGTAAAAATAAGTGAAATAACTTAAGTGTGCACACATTACCTAATCACATCAAAAACATGATGTAAAATGCGAGTCCACACACACCTGGCAGCTTTCAAAGTGCCTCTGATTAACCCCAAATAAATTCCAGCTGTTGTACTGGACTTTTCCTCCAAATTCATAAGCTGGGTCTTCCAAAAGCCGCATTTTTGTCCGCAGGACGTCGCTTCCGCCACAACTCGGCCGCACATGGTGTCCAAATTCACATTAAGCCTGTCCAAATTTGCCACGCTTTATGGAGTCCACGGATGAGGGAGGAACCTTTGAAGGCGTCCAAGGACCCAGCCTGCGAATTGTCTTTATAGAATTTGGAAACCACATGAGGTCGAGTTGCGCCGGAAATGATGTCATGCGGCCTTCGGATGCCGCCTCCTGTGAATTGAGACGCAGCCATCGTTTTCTGGCAGAAGACTGAAGGTTGTGTTGAACAGCCACATCACACTTACAACAGTGTGAGCACACTTGTGCAAAAACATTTTCCTAATTAATTTTAGTTTCTCTCTTTAAAAGATTTTATTTTTCAGTTGAGCTTTGCAGTGCATCTTATATATCATAAAAACTTGGCATTCGAGCAGAGTTGTGTAGACTTTTTGTATCCACTCCATGTCTGTTTTCTTGTACTTAGCTGCTTTGGCTGCTGAGGACCTTGGCTTTGAGCGATTTCACAGTGTTCTTCAGTAAGTAAGACTTTGTCTTCTTTCCCAAATAATTCTTGCATCTTAAAAGAGACTTATTTTCTTTTCACAAATTGAAGCAGTTCTCGTGTGTCTTCCTAAAAATTCAGTGATATTCTTTGGTCAGAATACCCCAGGGATAATGAATGAAAGCAGCACTCACATCTTTTACCGCACTTATATGAATCAGCTGCTTTTGCCTTACCATGATGACCAGGCGCTGAGTTGTTTTACTTTTGAGAGAAAAGTAATTCGGGGGACCCCAGCAAAAAATTACTTGGTGTCATTTCACGCATAAGCAATATGCACCATATGCACTTTTTAATACATCCTCACTTGACACAGATGCACTTACTCGTTTAGTAATAGGGGGTTTCTTGGAGGAATTAGAACACCCATTTATTTTGTAAAAGTAAATAAAAATGCATTTCACATTGAATTAACCGCTTGACTCACATTTTTCGGAAAAAGCGCTTTCATGGATTGACTGATTCATTGACGAGAACTTCCCTTTACCATTCTCGCACACCCACACGCAAATGCAAACTAACCTCGATGATTGCAAAGCTGTTTGACACAGCAGTATTGACCCTAAATCACAGGGCATGCTGCCTGCGCAGTTCACAGTCAACAACAGGCACTGCATGCTAATGAAGAAGTTTTTTTTTTTTTTTTTTTTTTTTTTTTTAATATGTATAATCTGTTTTAAGATGGTTTCATAGAATGAAACACAACATATTATTGGCATTTAATGGGTTTCAATCAAATGTCCCCTCCTGCAGGAAACGGGTTGTAATGTCTGTGTCAGATCTCCAAGCCGAAGTGCTTTCTCTCTTCCACACCTGGAGGGGGTGCTGTGGCGTTTTGCTTTTCCTCTACTCCGTCATCCTCACCAAGGTATGTTTATGAAACCAAAAGAGGCAAGAATGTATACACTTGATGGATAATATAAAGAATGGAAGTCAAACTAAATGCCTCTACAGGGCATTGAGAACATTAGAAACGAGATCCAGGACACGATGGAACCCCTTGTAGACCCAGTGCACGGCCATGGAAGGTACCGGAACACATTTTTCACACTTTGGCACAAAAAAAAAAAACAAGATACGTGATTGCGTGTCATATCTGTTTACATATTTTATAATAACCGTTCTTTATTCATATCGTCTTTGTCCATTTTGCAGTCAGAGTCTGGTGAACCTCCTTGTAACGGGCCATGCGGTCTCCAATGTCTGGGATGGAGATCGAGAGTGTTCTGGAATGAGTAAGCAAATATTTGATGCATTCTGCATGTTTTAGAAAACCTTACAACGAATATACGATGCAATCATTTTTAATTTTCCAAGACGCACAATCCTGCTACACAATTAAAACACAACAAAATAGTATTACTCCACATCCCCGTAGTTTCTTTGGTAATCATATCCACCAGAGGGCAATAGTTTCAAGCTCATGTTGACGCTCTGCAATTCAATTTTTTTTTAATCACTCTTTTTCTGTCTTTCTGCTTCTTCATGTTCAGAGCTACACGGTATTCATAAGCAAGCGTCAGTCGGCTTCCTCACGCTCATGGAGTCACTGCGCTACTGCAAGGTACAGTTACTGTAAACACTGCCAAAACAAAATACACACTTCCGAACTGAATTGGGTGAGCCTAAAACACTGTGTTTACATCACTATGAATACAAATAAACACAACTACATTGTTACATGTACAGTACAATTTGCTGTAACTGTTTAAAAACCACTTGGAAGGCTCCTGTGTGAAAATACGTTTGTAAACATCTGCGGAAAACCGCTACACAAAATAGATTACGTAACATTGTTAAAGATATTTTGTGAGATGTGACAGCTAACTAACTTAGGCTATTTGCTCTTGCCAACATAATCACCAAAAAGGAAATGATAATAAGATGATCACACGGTGATCCCAGACTGAATCGAAATAAGTTTTCAAGAGGCTATAGCGTTAAGTTATTCACAATGCTCTTTAAAAAAAAAAAGAAGAAAAGAAAAAGCTTTGGTGAATCACTGTTGTTGTAGAGTTACACTCACCTGACCTCTGTGCAGGCAGGATGGGTTCAGTTCCCACTCAGTGATGGCGTTTGAGTGCAAAAAGTATGAATGACTGTATGTCTCTATACAGTATTTGCCCTGTGACTACAAGTACTGTAGATGTAGTCTGCCTTTCTCCCAGAGTCACCTGGATTAGGCTCCAGCTCCCCGTGGCTCCAGACAGGATGAAGCGGTATGGAAAATGGATGGATGTAAAAAGGCTATATTCATGAAATAGGGCCAGCACCAATCCCACCCATAACTTTTGTTTGACACTGACATTTTGAACATTGGATCAGAGAAATAATCAATTCCCGTGATGTCTCAGATTTAGTATCAATGCACCGGTAAATATTAACGCACCTCCAACTCGAAATACGTTGTGATTCATAAGAGGAATAAGAAATCAAATCAATATTCATTCTAAACGCATACTCTCTTCTGGTTTATTTCAGGTGGGGGCTTTCCTAAAATCGCCCAAGTTCCCTATTTGGATCATTGGCAGTGAAACTCACCTTTCTGTGTTTTTCACAAAGGTAAGTTCAATACACTGGTCCGTAATTGTCTAAACACGTGTGACGCAGTGTTTAATAAAAGCCAGATTCCTCGACAGGTTAGAAAAACCAAAATATGGAACCCACTTAGGAGATTTAATAAAGGGAGGTCAGATATCAGTGAGAGGGAGGAAAAATTGTGTGTAAGAGACATAGTCATATATGGCCAGTGCTGTTTCTTGGCTTTCCACCTCTGTTTTTTTTTTTTACCTTCTGAAAAGGAGCGTGGGCCTACCCCAACAGCTGTAACAATTGTCTTTGTATGTAGAAACACGCATTATCAACACAGTGCAAACATGTGAATGTCTCATCCTCATGCCTGGCGTCCATAAAAGCGTGATTGATTGTCTTAATAATTACTTGTGGCCGTACTGACCACAAAAGCATTCTGCTCTGAAGTGATTTTAATTTCAGACATGCAGGGATAAATCTGCAGTCTTTAGTGAAGCTCATACAAGACTTCCAGAGGCACTAGTTGTCACTGGCAGGCAAATAAACTCTTGTCTTCCAAAATGACGGACAGGCAGTGTATCTTTGCTTAGCTGTGAGAGGAAGGATTGTAACAACAGAAAGGAAGGAATTTCATTTTAGTGATTCAAAACTTGGAAAGACACTCAGTTCAGTTTGTTTGAATGAGATGGACCAGCGCTCGTATTTGTTTGGAGTGAGGTTTGCAGTCCATTTGTGGGAAGGGATCATGGCCAGTGGATGAGAAGAATTATTAATAACCGCCGGTGAAGACTTCAGAAAGGCCACACAAATACCTCTGAAGTAGCAATATTTGATTTTTGCAGGTTAATGAGCCACTTCATTTCATTCTTAAGACCGGCAAATCATTGCTTGTGTATCCAGTGATGATGTTTCTAGAAAATAATCCGAATGGCCGGCTGTATCCCTTTTCCATGCACACATAAGTTTCTGTCACACGAAATCATCACACACATTCTACTGACAAGCGACAAGACAAATACTCCGGTTTCTATGTTCCTACAAGTTTTGATCGGTCCCATATGTGTCAAGGAACTGAGGAAGTCGAAGCAAAAATGTAAATCGTACACACTCTATTCAATGGCCTGATTACAATTAATGTATCGGTTATGACTCCCAACTCCCATTGCACGTGTGCTGATTGACCGTGAGCCGTCACAAATGAAAGCGGATGTGCAGCCCACATGTCCGCCAGCTCCACCTGAAGTTCGAACACTTTAGCCTTTGCCCCCCCGTGGGTAGTGCGGCAGAGGGCTTCATGATTGATCCATCGGTACCGTAATGGTTCATAGAGATGACTTTTGCGCAGCTTGCAATAGATCAGTTCCCGCTCAGTGTGCTCTTCACATTACCCCCGTGATTGAAGGGCAGTGATCAGACCAAGATGTTGCGAGCCCGGAACTCAGTTGGGAGAGGATCCAGCGCTTGCTGTCATCCTGAACACGATAAGCGGTATAGGAGCTTGGATGGCTGAATAGATAGATCGATGTTCCTTGAATTCCTTAACGGGTTAGTTGTTAAATGATCCTTTCCCATAACTGAGACTCACTTGCAAATGCACACAGTGCTACCTCGCTTGGTATGGAATGCCCTCATCCATACTGAGGTCCCCCGTGTTGTTTCGACTTCAATGACAGGACCAGGTGTCCTCAGATTTCATCTTGTGCAAATTTACTGTTCGTGTGTGTCTGCGTGTGTGTGCATGAGGGTGGATAAGGGCAATCCAGCATTCACACCTCTCTCATTCCCTGGACATGTAACATAAGATATTGTCGTGTTTTGTGTATTTATTTACCTGGCTGGTTGGCTTGGACCAAATTCTCTTTGCTGTTGTGGGGAGGAAAAAAGTACCAGAAATATAAAACGATTCCAGGCGATCGTCTTCATAACAACGCCACTCCCGTAATCCGCCGCTGATTAAAAGCTCAGATACATGCGTCCAAGCCGCGCGAATCATGTGTGGGTTCACTGATGACCAGCCGTCGATATGCATGTTTCCCGATTGCCTCAGCTCTCCGCTGGTGTTAGTGACATATTCACAAACATATACAGTCACACTCTTCACTGAGTGCAGGGAACCTAATCCTGATTAGCGTTTGTGTGTGCATGTGTGTGTGGATCAAGTGGATGGCTTCCCGTGAGCGAAAGTGATTCCAATAATTCCCATCTGGATCTATTTGTACTCTGAGCGACTGGAGCTGAATCTATGCACATGCATGTTTTCTGACGTCCTGTCGATGTTCTGCCACCATGAACGTGCTCAACCTCCGTGAGCCTAAAACCGCTCTGCTTGACAGTAAATCTGCTTTCGGGCTTCATTTGAAGTGTACTGCCATTTCCCAGCCATTGTGATACAAAATCCGTACTACCTGCTAATGTAGCTTTTAGTCCCAATATCGAGACATCCTAACAAAAGCAGAACATCCGATCCCTGCTTCTGATGTGTCAGTCGCTCCTTCTGTCTGCCATTGGGGACCGGTGTGTATTCCCCAGAGTTGTCACCGGTGTGTGACGATGGCTTTTTAGACCATCAGCTTAATAGCATTCACCTTTTTTTTTTTTATCTAATCCACCACCACAAAGGCCATTCCACCATTTCTGTACCCATACCCACTGTTCGTGTGTGCTTGCGAGAAATGTTTGCTAGCTCGTAACCGGATCTGTTTTTGAGATGCCAGGAAAAGAGAAAGAAGCTGAAGAGGATGGATGAGACAGCTTTTACATTTGATATATCGTGTTTCGCTCTCAAAGGATTCATGCTGCCCTTAGTTTGATCACCTTCTCGCTAAAATTTCAAGTCGCTGTAGATGTCACTTGTCCGAGTTAAATACTTCCACAAACCTCTTCAATATATCGGTCCCGAATGGGAACTGAAGAGGAAGGAAGAGATTGGGACAGGAGGATGTTCTTCAAGGAACAGCATAGTGGTCACTCAGGGAAAGCATGTGTGTTCGTGACATTTCTCATCGACTTTTACCCTCTTCGATGAGTGATGAGTATCGTTGTCTTTCTTCCCGAGGGAGTTACTGGTGTGTATGGCTATGTACAGTAGTCGTGATTTAGTAGCAGAGAGAGGAGCCTCACCAGCACTCTGCGTCCTGAGATTACTCTTGTGACTATCCATGCACACTGCAAATTTTCTTCAAGGATTGCCGCAAGACAGAGAAAACATATGTGCAGAGGCAGAGTGCAAACAGAGTTGATGTCAAGTTCTTTCCCCTGTGTTGGCAGGAACCGCAAAAGGTTATTAAAGCCATGTCATCAGAAACAGACCATGTGCATGTGAACTGACCGGGTAGAGCGCTCTGTGTTTCACCGCATTAAATAACAATGCCTCATGAAGGGGCTGAATAGTTTTGTTTTGTTCTCCCCATTGCACAATCCCGATATATTAAATAAAATTGCATTCAAATCTAATGATTTAAATGTTCAATAATGCAATAAATCTAACCAGACACTAATTGGCTGGATTTACAGAAGTTGATTTGACATTCATTTGGGATCTCGCTTTGACGGAAAACTCATACGCGGAGGGTAACCTTTTCAGTGGACCAACCCCGCGGTTATACATGTGATTTTTTTTTTTCTTTGGAGGGAGAGAATATGCCTATGAAGTTGCACAAAACGGCCATCGTGCCTGACCGCACCAAACCTCAGCCTGCCTCATGAGAGCTCAGTTATGTAAAAATCAAAGGAATATCTCTGCGTGTCTTTTTTTTTTTTTCAGTTTTTGTGGCATTTTATGACACCAATACCAAAAAAATATTCTGAAATGAAATGGATCAGTTCCCTTGAAAGGCTTTTGCACAATATCAGAAGGAAACTGAAGCACATTATATAATTTATTTGTATATTTTAAAAATAAATAAATAACATGCCTTAACTTGCTTCAAATAGTCGGTGGGCCAGCATCCCTGACTATATTGTTCGACTTCAAGGTCACACTGTAGTTAGTGCCTCATACAATAATATCACGGCGTTAAAAAGTGAAGAAACAATAGTCTCCTCTCAATATCATGTTTCAAGGAGATGCGAGGTGAGCGCATTGTAGAAGCACAAAGTAGCCAAGCGCTGTACATCAGCAGTCATTAATAATCTTTGACAGGTTCGACCAAAGGCCATTGTAGGAGGCTGAAAGGCTGTGTGTGTGCTGCATTAGCAGTCCTTTCCCTGGTGTATTGTTCGGTTACGGGATCCATCAACATGCTGTAGAACCATTCTGTGATGTCACCTCTATTTTCACCCGTAAGTGAAACACATGTACCCAAAAATCAACTCCAGTGAGATACGATGTCCTGAATCAAGTTAGTTGAGATGCATTCAGAACCCATCAGTGGAACAAACCTTTTCAGTCTATCTTGTTGTGATGCCTTTTTTTTTTTTTTTTTTTTTTGGAACACGGCAGTTTGACAAGATCTTAGCTTTGTTGTCCTGAAACAGATCCCCTCAGACTTTCTGCTCCATGGGCACTCAATGCCTCTCAGCACATACAAAAGCTCTTTGGGCGGACCATAGGGAAATTACTCGCGTAGCTTCCTGCATGTGAAGATAAGGGTCAAACTGGGAAAAAGGAAGCATGGTGGACAAAGAGGAAGTAGTCCCAAATTTTCAAGTACCTTTGTGGTGCAGGTAGACTGGACTCAAGTGCACTTCTCATTCAAAAGACAAACCCCAGGTAGAGCGAGAGAGAAAATAAAATGGGCGGTCTGTGGCTTCGACATTTTGGTACCTGTGTACACTCACATGTCTTCGAATGCAGGGTCGAAAACCTTTATTATTTTTTATTTTTTTGGAAACGTTTGACGTCAGTGTTGGTTTCATAGGACATGCTTGATTTTTAGCTTGTGTTTTCTTAACTTTGTTCCTGTGTTGAGAAGCTTATTGTTGCTCGGCAAAGTGGGTCAAGCATTTCAGCCGAAACGTGGGACCCTGGGGAATGGAATGTGTTCCTCAAGGCCACACACGAGCACACGTGGCCCTGTTGAGATGATGTCTTCTTTTCAGCGTCATTTGGAGAATCTCTGCATTCGCAACTGGAATATAGTTCTTCCCTTTTCTAGCAAATAAACGTTTGCGAACAGAGAATTTACAGTGTCTCAGTCACAAACGCGCTCACGGTAACGTAATGTAATGGCATCAAGAAGCGAGACAAAAACACACACACACTCCCCGTGGAGTATGTTTGCTTCATGTTTCCCAACTCAGCAGCATCTTCCTCAGGCCTCTAATAAAACACAGATCAAAGGCAACCGAACAGACCTGTCATCACACACACACACACACACACACACACACACACACACACACACACACACGTCATTTTGCCCACCATTATTTTACCTCGTGAGAACGTTATGAGAACTCGTGAACTTTGTAATGTCACCTACTGAACAGCCATGATAGTATTTTTTTTTTTCTTTCTGATGATGACCATGTGTTCGGTGTTTCTTTTTAGTAGTAGGCAATGTCCCGGAAGACACGACGCTGTATATGAACTTGGTTTTATGCTCATTGCACCTCCTGGGTCTTGCAAAGACACAAATTGTCTTTACTTTACTGATGAGGTTTACAGTTTATCAACCTAGTGCGTGTGACAAGAGCTACATTCCAGTGTTCAACCAGTGACATTTAGAACAATAAAATTGACTTTTTTTATGATGATCGGTCACCTTTTATATTCCTTGTGGGACAGACACTTTTAGGTAATGACAAATCTACCAGCAGATTTATGAAGCCGATAATGTTAACAAATCAGGGCAGGCTATAGTATGTGTGACAGATCACCGTGTCGACTGGTCTGTTTTCTTTATAAGTGAAGCCAAAGCAGCTGGGAGTCATCTCTGCTCAGTCTTCCTCCCGAGTGAACACTGAGCACTGCAATAAGTGGACAGGGAAACCTCAGCAGCTTGCCTGGATCAAGTTTTAATAAAGGCCAAGTATAAATGAGATGACCAGGCCTCATTTGCCCTGCAACAACGTTGTGTGTTAGTGTAGTGTTTGTCATTAGAAATACACGACTTGGCTAGTACGGAGGCGCCAAGTAAATGTCTGCATTTCTCACTGAGACAACACGTGACTGTTCTTTTGATTAATATTCTTTAACTACACTTATCTGAATGATTATTCAAGCTACTTGATATTTTGGCTTTCTTGCCCTGTTGCCTTGTTTCTCATATGTCAGCATTGGATAGTATTGTGGACATAAAAAAGTGAATATAGCTTTGTTAAAATTCATTTTTCAGAAGGCAAGGCGGCTATATTTATGTAGCGCGTTTCATCCGCAAGTTAACTGAATGAGTTTCAGACATTTTAAGGCAAAATACATATTTTAAAGGCAAACGAATTGAAGACATTTTAAAAACGGAATAATTTAAAACTTATATCCACACTGATGGGAGAACGTTTGCAAAGGTACCAAATGTAGATTTCTCGTCAGGGTTCGTTCAAGGTTGCAAATGTTCGCCAGATGTTGGCCAACAGATTTAATGGGGTTTTTTTTCTTATTGCACGAACATGTTCAAAATTTACTTGTTGCCCCCCCCCCACACACACACACACGCACACACAAAAAGTGTCAGTGACCATTAAAACTGTTGGTGAATGTCTTCTTGCAACTTTGAAACCTTGAACGAAAAATCTATATCCGCTCCCCTCACAAACACTCGCCAACGTTTGCCGCTCAGTGGGAAACGGGCTTAAGACAATTAAAAGTAGAGAATAAGAAAAAATAGTTGACTAAAATTATTACATTGCCAACATTTAAACATATTAACAGAAAACTTTAAAAGCATTTAAAGGTATGTTGAAATAAAAGTAGCTTTTAAAACTACTTAAAAGTATTTCAAAGTAAATTGAAATAAAATAGGTTTCTAAAATTACGAAAAGACCATTCTGCGAAATTGATTTTAAAAATTTTAAAGGTATCAGGGCGGCGAGAAGCAAAGTTGTTGTTTTGTTTTTTTTTTTTACCTGGATTTAAAAGCATGTACACTCAGGGCTGACTTCTGTTCGCAGCATATTACGTTTGTGAACAGCATAACAGCTAAATGCCGCTTCACCTTGTTTGCTTTGAACTCTGGGCTCCACTAATTAACCCAAGTCTGCAGACCTCACAGCACTACTGGATTTACACTCAATCAGCTTTGCTTTAATGTATTCAGGACACAAACCATTCAATGATTTATATATTAGTAGCAGAATGTTATCTATTCTATAGCATAAATCAATCAAAGCTTTTCAGTAAAATAATGTGAATTAATTTGTAATTTAAATTAGGTGTATTTAAAATATTAGGGGTTCATGCTTTACGGACGGAATTGTGTTTTTGGCTGTCAACGTGGTGCACCTTTGCCCATGCTTTGAAAACCTCATTGTCTTACATATTTTATTGAGAGAGTTATTTTTTTGGTTCAGTGTCATGTTGGAAACGAAACATTCTTAAGGCTTTCGGCCAAAACTGACTGGTATTTAAAATTATTCATTCCTTCCTCTGAAGTGATTTATTGTGTTCTCATTTTTTCCGTCAGAAGAAAAACAACCAACAATCGTGTGTTCTTTCTCGACATCTGATATCCATGTTTGGAAACATCAGAAAGCAGGAGTTTAAGACAGGATTGGAGCGCTCTACATTTAATATCCCTAAAAGAAACCTATCAAAATGAATGCCTTTCCAAAAATGACAGTTCGCTATTTGCTTCCTGCTAATCTTATCGGGGTGAAATTCACCAACAAACAAAGTGCAGAGTTTCTCATGAATCATGTTTATGTGTAGGACTTGATTACCTGATTGTGTGTTTGCAGTAAAAACAAGTCGGCAGACTTTATCAGAAAATCACTTAATAGCCTGGCAGACTCCAGTGATTACACTGGCCCCTTGCACAGCCGTAGACACACACACGTGCTCATGCTGCATGACCAGTGCGCTGCTCGCACACACATGTACACACAAACACACACACATACCCACAACTGTTTCTACAGGTTGTTGGTTCACCAGACACTCAACATCCATTTTATTTGTCTGCTTGCTTGGCTCGAATCTGAGCCAGCTACACGTCAAACATTCTTCTTGTTATGTAGTCTTTCACTTCATTGTTGTTTTTTTTTTTTTTATTTTTGTTTTGTTCTGTTTTTTTTTTCCCCCCTCACTTCTCAATGTAATGTAATATGACAGTATTTTTGTCTTCTTGCCGATAGGAGCTGACCCTGGTTGGTCCGGAGTGTCCCTCAGAGCAGGCAAGGAGGGTCTTCCAGTCATTTGATCCTGAAGGTAATCAATTCTTGCAACGTATTTATTACATGACATCGCTCTCGGTGTGAGGAGCCACGGTATAATTGACGCAACTCAAGTATAACCGCCTCCGCTTTGCTTCTTCTGGTTCAGCTTTTCCAATATTTTTCCTCAACCAACAACCAGAACGACTTTTCTCTCTCATCTCCACTGTTGTTGTTTACAGTACGTTAGTGAGCTCAGCTCCTCTTACAGCTGAGTCAACCATCCCGCTCTTTTCCTCCTTGTCGCTTCCAGGTTACTGGGGGAAAGGACAAATAGTGTGATGCAATAGTAATAATACACAGAATGGGTTTGGAAAGAGTGTTTCCTGTGTAAGACAGTAGTGCACGACCACCGGTCTGCAGGCCTTTGGTAAAAGGTTGCGGACTGCTGATGTAAGACGTGCCTGGAACCCAAAAATATACAGTATGCGTGTGTTCATTAGCAGATTGGGGGGGGGGGGGCTGAAGTTTTGCCTTCTGCTTTAGAGATGAGGGAAGCAGGGTGAGATACAATACCAATGAATGTCCACAAACTTCTGATTAATTGCTATAGTGTACATGACAAACTGCACAATACTGCAAAATTCCAGGGCAGCCACCTTTGTTCTAATAATCAATATAGTAAATTGGAGGACAGTCATAATTGACAGCATTGCACACACAAAAAAAAAAGTGTGCTTGAACTTTGTATCACGGTTGTATCAAGTCACATTTTCAGCCGCCAATTCTGTGTTGACACTATTTTCCTGCCAGTCACGGCAGCCCAGTTTGCCTGAAACGTAGTGCAGCATTTTGCCCTTTTTTTTCTCTCTCTCTCTTTTGAAATCTTGCCAAGAGTTCTCATGGTCTCACACAAAATCCACGTCGGACCGTGGGGGCAAGGGGTTGCTGAGTGAGTCCTGAAGGCTCAAAGGCGTGGTCTACTGCAGATGTCAGGACGTTTCCTTCAGCCCTGTCATGTTCTTCTGGGGTCGCTCACATTTCCTATGATCTAAACAATGTCTGACATGTTTTTCACATTCTGTCAAGCCTTTCTACGGTGAAAACGTGCCCGACCATGATGTCATTTCCATCCCGTTTTCTCCTCGGTCATAATTTACTTGCCATGGCATCAGTATAGATTTGGCAATATGCATCTTACAATACATTCAGTCAATGATGTCTCCCCCCCCCCCCCTCCCAGCTGCTTGAACACAGAGACTGTACAATTTTATGGTTACAGATACCGATCGCATCTTCTCACTCACCTCCACCTCGAATCTGTGTCAGATTTAGATGCTCACCATGTGCACAAATGCAAGAGGATGTACTCTACGTAATCGCATACATTATATATGCAGCGCCGCACATCCTTAGCCATGCTTCAGCACACTTGAGTGTTGGGTTAATGTGCTGTAAATCTGCCCAAGTCAGCGCGGCTCCCACGTGTTGTGAGCGGGAGGGAAAAACACATTACCCCTCCAATAGATATGAGGATGCAGCCACCCACTGTCTGTGTCGGTTGCTTGACTAATACTCTTTGCGCCTACCCTTCTGGGTTGTTGGAGAGAAACAGTTGGAGCAAACGGGGCATGCATCTAAACAAGAGCCCACGTTGGCTCACATGTTCGTGTTTGAGTGAGTCACATTCCAAATTCAGACCGGCGCGCCTTCAAAAGCACATGTTAGCGTTTAAAGCGTCTCCTCACAGGTAAAGTGATCATCATGTCGATGGAATGTAGGTCAGAGAGAAAGGGCAAGGTGTATATATGCGTGCTTGTTTTGACTCGCATCACAAGTTAATTCTCATCTGGTACGTATGTGTGCGGTATGGGTGAAGGTCTCCCCCTTTTTTTTTTAAGCTACAATTGTGTTCTAGTCCAACTTGTTCATCCATCTCTCTTTGCGTGTCTCCCTCCAGATAACGGCTTCATCCCAGATTCTCTGCTACAGGAAGTGATGAAAGCCCTTGACCTTGTCTCAGAGCCAGAGTAGTAAGTGCTTGCATGTCTTGAGGCTGCTCGTTGCGGCAGCTTGTCTGTGTGGCACCTGTAGCTCTTCTAAAGTTGCCACTCCAAAGTCACGGCCAGGCCGGGGTCAACGGCCCAGCTCACGTTTCACTACCAGGCTTCTATAAAGTACCGTTAGAGTCGACTCACTGTGTCACTGTGAAAGCACAAGACTTTAAAAAAAAAAATGTTCGAATCCGAGGCTAAGAGGTACAACATTAACGACAGGAAGAAAGCCTGTTAGAGAGAGGAAACTCTTAAAAGCATCGCTTCAAACAGGAGTACGTTTTCCACCGAGGAGTGTTAAGCCCTGCACTGGGAGGACGGGTATAGTCGAGTGCTTGGACTACTGATGTGCTCTGCAGAGCCCCAGATGGCCAACACATCACAACATAACAGAGCACACCATGGGGGGTACTCGTTTCTCTCTGCTTGCCACACACAACACAAGTAGAGCAGCCCCAAATCCACCATATTGAATAATATTCAGCGAGATGGTGGCGCCGGTCTAGAAACAACCCATTTGGTACTTTTATTGCCAGAAGAATGAAGACATGCAGTTGTTTTCATACGCCTCACAGTGTCTGTATTGTTTTATTATTTCCTGCGATGGTCACTTCCTGGCTACTTGTGATCGACTGGTAGATATTCTCAGCCATAAAAGTTGTCTGTGTTCATGTCTTTCTGTTTTATGTTGATCGCGTCTATTCAGTCTCCAAAGCGTGTGTGTTCCTGTTTTGGGGCTTGGCTTCATTTTGGTCAGTTTGTACAGCGTGTTCCTGAAAGTGAAAATCAAGCTTTTAATGCGCAAGCTCATTTTGACTTGGTTTGAGATACCAAATATGGTTTCTTGCCCTACTAAGGGCTCTATTAAACTGAGGGTGAATTCAAATCATCATTATGGAATGTTTTCCACCTTTTTGACAGTTGCAAAGTGGAATTTATTCTTGAGTCACTGTGGTAAATAGAATTCTCCGGCTGTTATTTGGGCATTTCTTGTGCTAAATGCTAAAGCTAGGCGCATACTGCATATTAAGCCTGTTTCAAGCCCTCACGTTTGTCGAATCAGTTTTTGTACAAGGGAAACTTGAAGTGTCCGAAATGAGGCGATCCACATCAGTGATATAAATACCGTCAACACTCGTCTATCACATAAGAAGAATCAATATGCGAAATCTTAAAGCAAGCAAACACACAATTCAAAGGAATCGAATGTTGCATTTGTCTGTAGACCCGCTGTTTTAGTTCCAGTTGAATTTCTTCCCTAAATTTGACGTACAAGTACTTTGCTGCTTTACGTTCCCGATTCTAACTTTCGGCATGGCACCAAACTGCATGTCGGAGTCGAAGCTTGAGGCAGAACAGGTTGAAGACGCAACCATCTATCAACTCGAATCGGTATTTCTGGAGGTCTTTTATCATATTTGATTTGCAACCTCCTTTGCAGGAGATTGTTTTTTGACACACTTGGCACTGAGCAGAAGACTGGTCTTTATTTTTTTTTTCCACTTATGATTTGTGCCGATTTGAGTCCGCAACTTGTGAGCTTGATCCTGTCTCGCATTTTCCGGCAGTTCTTCTTTATTGGGTATTGTTGCGCGCAGCGAGCACACATTTCTGATGAGTCCTTCTCCGCTCATGTGCGCCGACTTCCGCACGGCAAATTAGGCATCGGAATTTAGCACCGAAATGTTAGTCCATAGCAACAATGGGTCTTTTCTTCAAAATGAGCCCAAGATGGTTTAACAACATAACTTTATACAAGTTTTGAATGGTCGCACTTTGTCTGTGATGTCTTTTTTTTACAAGCTGCTGTACGGCTGAATGTTCTGTTTTCTCCTCTCTATTACTAACAGAAATCCGCTCATATCATCAAAACCGCACTGGTCCTTTCAAACCAGCCATGCAAAATGTTCTGTTGAAATGAGCGTGACTTCCTCAGACTGCCGCCAGATGAAGGCACCCAGTGTCTGCATCGAAAACCGATTGACGCATGACACGAAATCCTAGACCACTTCCAGAGAAAACATCAGCTGATTGCGTTCGCGCACCATACTCGAGGCTGGATAAGACACGAAGAAAAACTGCAGCATGCTCTACGGAGAGAATTCCACGCGTCATCGTATCACATCCAGTTCGCTTTGAAAACGAACGCGTCATGTGTACACACACGCGCTTCACACTCGCATGTCGTTGCCGTCTACTCTCTCTTTCTGCTGCCTTAAAAGGGCAATTGAACAAAAGTCTTCTTTTTTTTTTTTCATTTGCACGGTAATAAGAATAATAACCCTGATCTAACACACAGGAATGTCGGGAAAGTGGTATATTTAGTTGCACCACAGTCTTTGTAAAAACATGCAGGCGCTCACCAAAACATGGCTTCACTCCGAGCTGACGTGATGTTTCCCAGTATTCTTAACGAGTTTTACCCCTCCCCCCCCCTCCTTTTTACCCTCCAGTGTCAGTCTGGTGAAGAATAAGCTGGACCCAGAGAACTTGGGCATTATTCTTCTGGGCCCGTTCCTCTTGGAATTCTTTCCTGATCAGGTATGTGTACAAAGGTGGACGCACAAATTCCTTCCATCCTCATTTGTTTAAGCTTAGCGCAGTTTAAAAACCAAAAAAAAAAAAAACGATCAATTTGAGGTCACCTTCACATCAGCGTCGATATCCGTGGCCAAGTCCTGTTCTAGCTAATCAAAGACTTTTGCGCCAAAACATTCTTGCGGTGTCTCGTGTGAAATCTATGCGTGTTCACAATCACATGACGCAGCTTGCTGAAGAGTTTAGAGAGAGCGGTTAAGCCTTCTTTTTTTTTTTTTTTTTTTTTTTTTTATGAGGCAGAGATAGAGGGAACTGTGTTAAAGTGATCAGGGCTTTAGGGACCCACCAGAGGAGCAACACAGAGCTGCAAAGAAATTATGCCGCCATTAGCCAAGTGGACACATACGCATGCAGACACACGTGGGATTGGGTCAAGGGTTTGGGTTTCATACGGAGACATACAAACATGAGAAACTGGACGCGCAGTCAGACAACACACCCTATTAGCATCCTGCACCTTTAAGCCAAAGTCAGCACAAGTGTCATTGTCTTCCTGGTTTTGGCTGTTGGGTGGTAATCGGAGTTGCACTTAACTTTAACGCATTCAAAACACACTTGAATGTAACAGGCAGGATTGTGAGTTTGCTGCCAGGATTTGTAGTCAAAAAATGTTCCACTTCTGGGTCTTAACCTCCACTTCTACCATTACGTTCTGGCCAGAGAGTCTCGCCAGCATGTTCTTCACTCTGTTTCCCGACTTGTGTTCCAGGATTCAGGAATCCCGGACTCGTTTCCCGTCTACCACTACAATGGACTCAAACAGTCCAACCACAACGAGAGGGTAAGACTGTGATGTCGCCTTCTTATATGTCCGTCTCTAGCTACGTTGCATTTCTTTATTCCCTGTCAATCATTCATGCACACAGAGACACACACAAACACCGTTGGTGGTATCCTGCCCCTTCCAGGATAAACAGTAGCCATTGTGATCTTACTAGCTTGTTCAGTCAGCCAAAAAAAACTCCACGGCTTTGCCTCCCGTTCCTCAAAGTCATTAGGACAGAGGCGAGTGTCAACAGCATGGCTGTGACAAATGCTCACCGACAGACAAGTTGAGGATGACAGATGGCTGTCAGCGTGTGTAGCGCTTGTCTGTGGCTGCAGACTAGCCTGGTAGGCAGGAATATCACTTTCTGCAGCTGTCAGCTCAGATGGGCCTTTGTTTTTTTTTTTTGTTTGTTTTTTTTTACTCTCCCGTACACCGACCTGAAGTTGTAGGACGTGTACCACAAGTAGACAGAAACATCTGCATATATGCAGGCCAAGGCGCCTCTAAGATTGCTTTGGCGATTACATTTCCGTAGATTCAAATGGTTATGACAGCTCCGGAAAGTGGATTTAAAGTATTTAATAAGTATTTAAAAGTATTATTGCCACCCCTGCAGCTGGTACATTTGTGTGTGTCTGCACATGTGGGTGTGTCTACTCTAAAATAGCATCAACACTCCTCATTTCAACCCAAACCACTTTAGGAGAAGTGCCTAGATTGAGAGTGATGGCGCCGCTGTCCGTCGCTGGGGTCAGGAAAAAAATGAAATCATGTGATATTGTTTCCCACTGGGACTAGAGTTGTTTTTTTTTTTTGTGTGTGCTGCACCAAGGTTGCAGTTTTATTTGGAACATATCATTTGTTTGCCTTGTGCAAGCGAGGTACATGTATCGATTTATAAAATGTGAGAGACAATACACCATGAGGAAAAACTCGGCATGTGTGTGCTTATTCTGCTTGTGTGGTGTACTTGAGATTATTAAAACAGCACGTCACTCACATACCCATATCTCCACCGACAATCAACGATGCCGGTATCAGTGTAGTTGCCAATACTGTATGTCTAGAGTCTTATTCTTAAAAATGCCCTAATACTATGACACTGATACCACTTTACCAGTTCGACAGATGCATTCGAGGTAGCCAGACGAGGAAAATTCCGGGCGCGTATCGACGAAACAGCGTTGACAACACTGCAAATGCAACTTATAGTCTGCAAAAACGAATGAAAAGCAGACACCTAGCGAGTTATGGCAGAAGGCCGTCCGGCAAATACTGAGTTTCTCTAGCTCCAATCATCACTTAACTCCACTGGAGTCAGATGCGCTTATGTCATAGTTAAAAGTGAATTGAAATTAAATTTAGACTTGTCTAGGTACCGTAAAAGGCCATTTAAAAAAAAAAAAAAAAAGTACTCACTGTGTCAGTCCATGTATTAGATTGCGTGAGTAAATCTGGACTGACCTATCTGTGTGCTTCAGGTAGAGTACGTGGAAGGGACCGCTTTGGTGCTCGGGTTTGAAGACCCCATGGTACGGACCGATGACACTCCAGTGAAGCGCTGCCTCCAGACCAAGTGGCCCTACATCGAGCTGCTGTGGACCACCGAGCGCTCGCCGTCACTCAACTAGTCTGGTTTGTACGTACAACGGACCACTACTGCCTCCATCTCTCTCTTTAACAGACACACACACACACCCACACACACACACACACACACACACACACACACACACACACACACACACACACACACACGCGCGCGGCTCTGCTCAAGGGAGTTCCGAGAGACCGGGACCACAACCACATACACGCAAACATTCTGAATGAGAACTTCACAAATGCACCCAAAAGACTCCTGCAACTGTGTATGCCTGAGATTAATTTTTTTCAGTCGAGATTCAACTCACCTTTAAATGATGCTATTGTCTGTTAAGCACGGCTTGCCATTTGTCACACAGGATGTTTATCATGTTGAAGTGTAGTGTGTCACACAAAGTCACACGCCGGCGCGCATATTTTAAGAGTTGTTCCGACAACTCGACGACTGTTTGAAGGAACGACCAAAGCCTTCCACGTGAGAACACGCAGAAGTTCACTCTCACTGCTAAACGTTTACAATGTTAGGACCAACGGAGGCACTCAAGCAACTGTGGAGGCTTCTTCAAATGACTTCAAGAACATGTACGACAATGTACCTCATGCACCACATTGAAACGTTGTATTTATTAACACGCTCACAGTTCAGATTGTGGAATAAACACTTTATTTGGCATCTTCCGCTTGTTGTTTAAATGTGTAGTCATCCTCGACCCAACATCAGGAAACATCAAGTTTCCAGGCCCATCTGCATCGCTTCACCGCTAACTCACGGCACATGTTTGCACTCTGCAGAGGCTCACGAGTAATTTTTCACTACATCTGCAGGATGGTGAGTTAAATGTCTGATAAAAATGGCGGAAGATGATGTGTTCTCACTTCGTACACTGAAATGACTATTTGTCTTGTACAAACCCACTTAGGTACTCAGGTTCACGTAGATGTCTCTGTGATGGAGTGAAGTTGTGAGCTGGTGTCACTTTGAGTTCATCTTAGGAATGATGCATTCATGAGCAGCTCGGAAATATGGGTACTAACTTGTTAAAAAGGAATGTAATTGTTTGCTCTAAAAGTGTGTGTACGACTATGTGAGGTAAATTACGTGGGTTGGGGTGTGGGGGGGTACATTCAGAGTTGCAAGTGCCCGATTTGCTCGCCCCTTTACGGCGCTTCTGACCCGTTGCGCAACCCAATCTGCTCTCCCCTCACACACTAAGTCAAACACCGATAACGTTAATGCCTCATTGTTGCTAGATCAGATCAGACACAGAATTATGCCTCCCCTGACCTTTCTAGAACTTTCTCGTGCATCTTTTTCATGCTGGATTTACATGAGGACATAGAGCAGACCATCCACATCCATACTTCTTGCATAAAAGCTACTTGAAGACAAGGTGAACCGTGCAATTAAATGATGAGGGCAGGGGTCAGGAAGTGAGAGATGGCAGGTGTTGGAAGCGTCTCCGTTTGACGGCTCAAGGTTTTGTTTTATTTGGGGGGGGGGGGGTCTTGACAGACACTAATGCTGTTTCATTTGTCTTTGCACTGCACTGTCAGACTGCCACTGGAGCTCATTTTGTTTTTAATGTGCCTGTAAAGCTCAGTTAAGTAAAACAAACTGTCCAAAGTGGGTTTTCTCAGTCCATTATCATCATCTCTCTGTAAATGTTTTTAATACGAGAGGCTTGGCAGTTCGTGTTACAGCCAAATCCTCCAATATGATGCAAACCTACTGGGCACAGCGTTAGGTAAACCTGCCCAAGGCACATATCTTACAGTTGAAATTTCTTGCAACACACCACCAAATAAAAAGTATACTGGAATAATGCTGATCTCGCCTCAATTTAATCGGCAATTGGTAAATTATTCAGTGTGAAATCTGTTTTATTGAACACACATCATCTGCTGCAGTTACAAGAGGCCATTACTTAATTGTCTTGTATGAATGAAAATAAGTGGCTATGCAGTTTAATTGTATTTTCTGCCACCTAGTGGCAGAGCACTCTGCCTGTCACGATATGTTAGTGGCATAAATAGATGAACGAAGATGCATTCTTTTCTGTAAATAATTACAAATTGTTCGACCAAATAAATGATACTGGATAATCATTTACTGCTGCACACTTGATGATCTCTCACCACACCTGTGGTTGGGAAGTACCGCATTAGTTTGTGTAAGTGTACCTAATGCCTTGCAAAACTGTTCTCAATGTATTTATTTTATTTTTATTATTATTTTGCAAGTGATGATTCAAAATGCAAGGAAGTGTTGCGTTAAAGCAATGGGGACGTTGGATTGCATGCACATCCAAGTTTTTCTAATTTACCCCTCATGTATACTTTACAAGTTTCCCTTTGATTTTGTTTATTTTTCAAGAATTAATTAAAGCGATGGATTAATCCCCCATGCGGAAAACGCGCCGTAAAAGGAGTGATGACGCACGGTTTGCGCGCTCACTTGTGGTCTGTTCCTGCTTGAATGACCGCGCGTGTGTGAGTAGGGGTGGCAAAAGTTTCGAGCAAGGGGGCGGGGGTGGGACTGTGTCGCATTGTGGAGGTTCCCAAGCACTAGACCTGCTGCTCGCTTGAAGGGGGTCAGAAGAAGGAGAAGATCCGGGGGAGGAGCGCGGTGATCCAGACGGACTGCAGCCGGCATTTGAAGCGACCTCACCTGCAACACGGCGGGACCTCCATCCGCCTGCCTCACGTCGTTGAACCCGGGATTGTAAACGGCGGGATGGAGCGTTCAAGGCGCATGGGAGTGTTCACACTCCGGCTATTCTCCCTCCTCTGGTGCGCGCCAAGTGGGGTTTGGAGCTTCAACCTTTACGCAGAGCATCCCACGGTGTACCGCGGACCCAGTGGGAGTTATTTCGGTTATTCCGTTGACTTCTACCAGGCCAGCACCGACAGCAACAAGTGAGTGGCAACTTTGTCGACAGCAACATTCGGTAGAATTGCACAATTACGTGAAGTCCATTGATTCAATTTAGGAACTGCAATAACATTACTAGAATCATAATATAGTACTCATTTCACATTAATTGAATATATTAGAGTGGTTACAAAGCTGTATTGCATCATAATGACAGTTATTTACGGCTGTGTTTTATAGTCATGTGGCTGAATGGGTAAACTTTTTTTTGTAGATCTCACATTATGCAATGGACAGTTGATATATACTGGGAAAAATATGTGATGTTTTGTTTTTGTTTTTTTACTTGTAGGATTTGATACACAAGCATCAAATGTTGACATATAATTTTTCCCCTTTCAATATAATGTGGTGTTGTCTTCCATTTACCATCAACGCTGATCAACATTACTGACCATGTCGTCCATCCATCCATTTTCTGATCTGTTTATCTCACAAGGGTCGCAGGCGTGCTGGAGCCTATCCCAGTTCACGTTGCACAATAGGCGGGGTACACCCTGAACTGGTTGCTAGCCAATCATAGGGCCCGTCTAGTCCATGCAAACTGAAATTTAAACATAACCACCTATTTATTTATTTTTTTTTTATATCTATCTTCACACACACACACACGTATTCATATATACAGTACATACGTGTATGTTC